TCCTCGCTGCGCTTGGACAACATGACAACAGAATGATCCGCGCCAGGTGGGTCGCGGCGTTTATGTGCGTGGTGGGACCGAGTCGCCAAAAAGCTATTTATTAATTCAGATTTTGACTTCCGTTTATTCGGGACCTCGGGGTCCCGCAATAAGGTTCATATATGGAGACCATCCCTCTTGGAGTCTGGCGTTGCCCTGACTCTCACCCCCGTTGGCCCACGTGGTGTGCTTGCTCCAGCAGCAGCAAGTCGCGTTAGTCACAAAACGTTCCAATTTTTTTCATTAGCTCCCCCTTTGATCATGAATGAAGAACGCTGAGCTACTACAGAACATGTGGTGGAGCTGCTGGCAGCGGTGCACAAACAGAAACCGTGGCCAGTGATGTTGAGAAACTGGGATCACAACAGGAGCCCACCGCACAATTTCACCTACAGACCTGCTACCTGCAATTATATAAACGATTAGACGAAGTGGTGTGTGCGCGCAGACCAGGAGTAAATCCCCACAAAAGACAAAGATCGCCCGTGTAGCCTTAAAGAAGTCTAGACTAAAGGTTTTTTTAGGTTATAACGCGAAAATATGTGTCGTTAAACCTTAACAGACTGTTGGGGCAAGTGTTCCAAGCGAGAACCTTTGAAAGTCCGCACGGCACACGAGGGGTTTGGGTGGTCAGTACATCCGGCCGCCTTTGTCTCCCTAGTTAGTATGTATACACATCGTTCATAATCAACGTTTTTGGGTTTAGATCGCGTTATTTATAAATGTGTCGTAACCCTCCACTACCCGACACGGCCAATCAGTAAAAAAGTGTCACGTTGACAAAAGACAAATAGATCACTGATTTAGCCCATCGGTGTGTTGAGGCGTGACACCACAACATTTACAATTTTTGAGTACGATGTTTCGCTGGTAATTGCATCTAGCAATTGCGATCTAAACCCAAAAACGTTGATTATGAATAATATTGGTCGCGAAAGCCTACGTGTTATACACATCGTACTCGGCACTCATTTAAGGCCAAGTCGACCTAGGGGAGGCCCAGGACTGCTTCGGATAATCGTCACTGGTGTTGGTGGTCGTAGACGGGAATGGAACTTGGATCACGAGGATTCGTAGTGCATCGCTCTCACCGCTACGCGACTCACCCTGCAAGGTCGCGAGCGCACACAACGCATTCACCGTCTGGGGAAGGCGGGAGCCGACACTTCAGCAGCCAGAACAGCGGGTGTTAGGAAAGCGGTAGCTTTTTACTTTGTCTAAGACTGACCACTGCTTTATTTTGTGAATAGCCTGCAAGGAAAGCGAACCATTGCACTTGGCACGATTGTACGCCTGCGTGGCAATGTGGTGCAGCGGTAACGCCGCAATGTTATCTTGGCAGCTCCCACTAGCCTGAGACACATTCAGCCACGACTTATAATGTAGAGTAGTTATTTATCTTGACGAGTCACACACTGAGTCGTAGGACAACGTAGCATGACGGTCCTGCTACATTGGGTTTTTATTTTAAGATGTTGTCAGCCAATGTATGATGCGTTGTGTTTGTTTTACAAGTAGGGAGAAAACCGGAGCACCCAGAGAAAATCCACGCCTTGCGCGAGGGGGCAACGCCCTATCCTCGTGCAGATGAAACAAACACAGTGGCGAATAGTCAACTTGCTGTACTGCATTCTCCTGCGAAGTCAGGGCATGACACTTTCTTGACGGCCGCGGGAAGGACGTTTCGCAACATCTGCGTGTGTGGTGATCCACCAACCCTCGCTGATGTTGACTGAGAAATCGTCCCGAGTTTGTTCTGCGGCAAAGGTGGCGCGCGACCCTTACGACAACAACTTTTTTTATTCCTCAAATGTTCTTCAAACAACAACAAAAAATGACTCGGCATGAGGTTTGACCCCCCCCCCCCCCCTTCTACGCCGACTTAACATCAAAGTTGACGCAGGGAGGCAACGGACAGCCTCGTCCCCAGCCCTGCGGCGCCCCCCCATCCCCGGGGAGAGATGGAAGCGGAGCCGCGCGCCATCGCTGACGGGACCACAGCCTCCTCCGTGCGTGCCGGATCATTCGCGGTCTCGGCCTTGGGGGGGGGGGGGGTGGAGATTCAGCAGAGTAGGAGGAGGGGAGAGCTCGTGCCACCCGCGGAATACGTTGAGCGGACATTGACAATAATGCTAAAAATATATTTTTTATCACGGAGATCCACACCGAGTCGTATGACTGCAGGGTCTTGCATTGGGATTTTTATTTTAAGATGTGCTTGAGCTAATTTATGAGTGTTTATACAAGTGGGAGGAAACCGGAGCACTCGGACAAAACCCACGTGCACGAGGGGGCAACGCTTTATCCCTGTACAGATGGAAACAGATGGCGATTAGTCCGCACTTTGCTGTACTGCCTTTTCCAGGCGAGCCATAGAATGTATGTACCGTATCTATGTCGAACTTCGTTCGCACCATACATAGCCAAGCGTACTAATCGGAGTGTGCGGGGGAAGGAAGAGGGCGGGGGAGGGGTGCCACCCGCTCCCACCAAGCAGGGCCCAGCTAATACACTAACGTGCGTGCTTAACCCTGTGGGCATTGCATGCTTAATATCAAACTCCAGTTGATCATCGATTGTCCGACACCGCGCGATTATCCGGCAGCTTTCGACATTAACCCCGGCGGTCCCGGACCGATTCGGCGAAACTGGCAAAACCGTTCCAGTCCAGCGATCGTCAAACACACATCGTGGTTGTGTTGAAACAAGAGCAGAGTACGTACGGCACATCACCCCATGCAGAGTCTTCGTGATTGGAGTGGTAAGTACGCTACAGTAAATACGGTAACTCTTTGCAGCAGGATATTTATTTTTGTCTATTTGTATGTTGACGTTTGCCAATTTCGTAGATTAAAGCGAATTTAATACACTAACATTGTTCCTGGTACTGTTGCTTATTCAGCTTGTACAGTCGTGATGGTCACGGGAAGGGAGTTTCACAACACGTGAGTCTTTACCTTTGATCCACCAACCCTCACCCGGTAGATGTTGTTGCACGTGGCTCGAACACGAATGTTGGCCTTCCTCTCACGTGTGAGAGAGTGTGGATGACAAGTAAGGGCTGGTCCATGGATCTGTGGGGGCCGACGTCCTCCTCCCTGCTCCCCGTGAGCGAGCGGGGCGCGATGTCCACCCCCTCCGCTCCCACCTCCTCTTCGGCCGCCTCTCGCTGGGCCCCCGCCGATCGTGTGATCCCCCCCCCCCGCGCCAGCGCCCTCTCTTAAGGGCCATCGCTACTCGACTGGCTCACTACCGCCCGGGGTTATCTCCCCCACGCACACGTATCCCACCACACACCACACAAAAACGAACGCAAAGGCGTGCACGAGCGCCCCAGCAGGCGCGTATTTCCCTCACAAAGGCTGGCGCTAATCAAAACGGCAGTATGAATATGCGCGTGCACCTCCGGGGGTTAAACCATAATCCGCTTGCACACAGATATACTACAGCTATATTCTGAATTAAAATCTATTAATTGCGCCAATACATACTGCCTGGAGGAGGAGTATTTCACGAGGAGAGCCTAGCCTATGAACAAAGTCACTAAAGCGTTCTACCACGTACCTCGTAGTTGTACTCCCGGCATCGCACGGGCACTGTGAGAGTCGGAGGGATGAGCGAAAACCTCACCTATCACTGCCTCGTAGCAGCACTCGCTGGCATCACACGGATGCTGCGAGCGGCTCGAGGAGACACGACGGCAGGGAGTCGGTCTGGACGGCCCGGAGGTTGTAGACAACTGACCCAATCGTCCCGGGGCTCCCACCTCTATACTCTCAACTTCAAAGGCCCGGGGGGGGGGGCGTCGCGTCACGTCGCGCAGCCAATGACGCGCCTACCTTTTGATTTTCAACTGATGCGCCGCCCTTATCTGGAGCGTCCGTTACGCCTACACCCATCGTTTTCTTAGTTCGTGCCTTCGATTTTTTTTTGCTCTTTTCACCCCTTACCCATTGTTTTCCAGTGCCCAGTAGTTTAAGCCTTCGGGTTTTCTCTTTACACCTAATATTGCACCCTCTGTCCTCCCCCAATGTTGTGAATAACTCATTGCGGTTGGCCCAGGGAACCTTTTCTTTTTGCGCCCATCCAATTTTAAGCCAATTTAGGGGCACCACAATGGAACCTGTCCTGTGGGGGTCGGCCAACCTCCTCGTACCGGGAAACCGTGGGACTCTCCCCCTAGGGGCCCTTGGGATTAAAACCCGATATGCCAGGCAACCCCCCACCAGGACACTACGTGGGTGCGCTGCATGCGGGTGTGTGTTTAGTGCGAGGGGCAGGAGGGAGTCGCGGCGCTTACGGAGTTGCTCCGCGGTCGTGGCACCACAGATCACATGAAACACTCCAAGATCGACCGAACCTCGTGGCTAATACGGTGAATAATAGGATGGATAATACGTGGATAACACGATGGATAACACGTGGATAACACGATGGATAACACGTGGATAATACGATGGATAACACGTGGATAACACGATGGATAACACGTGGATAAAACGATGGATAGCACGTGGATAAAACGATGAATAACACGATGGATAACACGTGGATAAACACGAGTTGCGAGTAATAGGAGGCATTTCCACCGTTTACGACGAGTACAGTCTGCGCATAGCTGCAATTCTGTACTATATTAAAAGTTGCCTTTTTATATGTTCACTCTTCTGCGCATCCAGAGTCAGTCATTATCAGAGCATTGAGCCCCGTGCCGTACAGGGCTGGTTGTCTTACTCGAGCTGTAATCCTGTATAGCCGTTAATGGTTTGATTGAGAGCTGTGGTGCACATGTTAAAATCAACATTCGCACCGCTCCAAAAGGCTCGGGATCCAAATTCCTCCCCCATCCCAACTCTGTCCAACTCTCCCCACTTCCCCCTTCGGGGCCCCTACCCCCCACCCACTCCTCATCCTGCTCTGACCAGACACTCTACTTACAGCCTCTCCGCCCCACAGCTTCACACCAAAAAGGGGTGCATGCTCACGTACAGCGGTGACAGCTCACTCCACCATCGCACACACAGACACACAGCGCACGGGCACAGCAGTAGCAGCCTCACCATCACACACACACAGAGCGCACGGGCACAGCAGCAGCATGACCATCATACGCACATAAAGCGCATACATCGCAAAACACAAATCTACAGCACTACGGATAACACGACAAGAACCAAAGACACACACACTGCGCCTAAAGCGCAGTGGGACCTCGAATGTGAATTTTGGACCCCTGGAGCTGCATTCCCGACCCCTCCTCGCCTGTGCGTCTACCGCGAAACGGGCAGGATGTGCGTCGCTCCCATGGCCGGGACCACACGAGCGCTGCTAACCGCCGGGTCGAGCGTGTGCCTCTGAGCCCTTGGACCTGCGCCCTCCTCAGCCTCCTTTACCCATGAAGCGCCATGGGTAGGGGGGGTCTCTCCCGAGGCTCGTCTTGCTCGAGTGGCAAGAGATTGAATCGCCATGAATTGATGTGCATCCGACATCTGGCATTGCTCCGTTGAACTGTATAACGGGTTAACTGCCCGCTTTGGATAGAGCTGGTCCGGACGTAAGAAGCATGTCCCAGATTGGCTGGTGGACCCGGCCGCTTCATCCACCGACCAAGCCCGCGTTTGCGCTCTGCTGCCTCCTCCTACTGCTGCTGCTCCTCGCCGCGAACCGCGCGCCGCTCGACTCGTCAACGCCGATCCACGCACAGGTGAGGCACAGGAAAGGGGAGGGGAAGGAGCAGGGGTGCAGGGCCCAGCTAAAAGGGACATGAACGTGTTAACTTTACTCTGTGGGCATTACATGTTCACTTAATGTCATACTATATTAGAACAAAACAAATCTTGCTGGCTGGAGAGTATGTGATACAGACAGATGGTCACGTCCAGAGGATGTGCGAGCTCCTAGTTTGGTCCAAATATATCTTCACTTGTGTTACAAACTGTGTGTTCAGTTTCTGAACACACAGTTTGTGAACACACAGTTTCTGAACACACATGTTACAAACTCCGCACAAAAAGGCATCCGAGTCGGGAATCGAACCGAGGCCCTTTTTGCTGAGGTACAAGTGTGTAAGCACTGTGGGAACAGTCCTTCACAGCTTCTTAACTCCGTCTGAAGATGTTTTTCGAGTTATTAGGATATGCAGTAAGATAAAGGTGAGCTCACTGAAAAATATAGACACGCCTACAGTAAAGAACAGGATTGCAAGACAGGGCGAAGTATGGTGGGTGGTTCGACCACCTGCCCCGCTTCGGTAACCAAAAAAGTCTGTCTGGACTCACCTGAAATGCAGCTGGCTAACGGGGCTCTGGTTATCTACTTAGGCTAAGGGAGTAAACCCTGATAAAATCCCGGGTGGATACCAAGTGGCAAATGGACCACCTCGGTGGGGCGGATGAGCTACGGTCCAGATGGCCAATGGCATATGGCGGAGGAGCCACTGGATGTCTGGTGCTTCAGGACAAGCCTTTCAATCGTCTTGCCATTGGACCCAGGCTTGGTTCCTGGTTAAGCCCCGTGCGGTAGGTGGTGTGCAACAGACACTCACTGCACGTAAATCAATTCATGCACTGGCACCCTCTAGGGAAACTGTGCCATCGTACCACCACACTACACACCCAAAGCCCTTGGGCGATTGGCAGGCCTATGCAGCTAGAAGCTCCTAATCACAACCCAGCACCAAGGCGGCAGCTATTAGAAAGTCGTCATGCACTCGGATTAGGCAGGAGTGCATCCCGAATGCACGACGTGTACCACTTAGTAATCATTGGAAAGATGTTATCAACCACGCACAAAAAGACTTAATTGCACATTTTTGGACCATCTTATCTGACAGGCACTATTTTACTTTACTTTACCGAGTGTTAACATCCCCAGTGTTTAACAGCACTCTCTTCATTGTTCAGCCAGCACTGGTATAAACATGGGCATTTTCGTTCTTTTCTATCATGTGTATCAACATGTGCTTGTACACACACATGTCCACTGCACCACACACTCTCTTTTGGCCTCCCCTCCCCCTCTCTGTCCAATGCGTTGGCGTGTGCAGCAGTAGTTGCTTGCGCACAACCACGTCCACGCCGCCGCTCTCGTGTACCACGTCGTACATTCTTTTGGCCCCGCCCCCTCCCCCTCCCGATGCGTTGTACGTGGCACTTCGTGCCGTCTTTGAGCCCCGCTCCCCTCCCTCCCGATACGTTCCATTTATTGGCTACCACATTCTGATGAGCCCCCCCCCCCTCTCCTCCCCCCTCAACTTACTTTTAAGGGATTACATCTTGAATCATTGCCTCACTTGATGCAGCAAATCTGACTGTGACGGTCCCACCTCCGAAACGTCGTGATTTTTATTTTATTTTACTTTTATTAATTTTAATCTACCTACGTGACTTTACCGAAAAAACCTAAGAATATGAATCCTTGCAGTCACGAAAGCTTCAAATCTAGGCTACACCTTCTCTTGGAAGGGTAAACCAGCGCATGAACGATGCCTGCACGGTGTAGGGTTTGCAATAGACAACGTGCTCATCAGCAGCTCAAGTGAGCTTACTATTGGTATCAATGAGCGTGCCTGAAACTCGCAAAAGACCAACATGCAACCATCATCAGCACCTATTCACCAACACTGGACTGTGAAGAAGACACCAAGGCGACCTACTACAGTCAACTCAACCAAATCCTTCAGAGTACACCAACAACTGACACGCTGATTCTCCTCAGCGACTTCAATGCTCGAGTTGGGAGAAACCATCAAATGTGGAACGGTGTAATTGGTAAAGAGGGAGTTGTAAAGTCCAACTCCAAAGGTCACCTTCTTCTTACAACCTGTTCTGAGCACGACCTAACAATCACCAACACCCTATTCAGGCAGAAGAATAGCCTTAAGACCTCCTGGTGCCACCCTTGATCACACCAATGGCATTTACTGGACTATGTGATTGTCAGGAAGCTTTACAGCACAGACGTGTTAATGTCCTCCATCTGTTGCATGACGGTATGAAGGCTGTCATCCTATCTGATGGTGAAACCTCAGAGCCAATAGAAGTAAGGGCCGGTGTGAGGCAAGGCTGTGTTATTGCACCAACTCTTTTCTCCATCATCCTGGTGGTAATGCTTCATCTTACATATAGGACAGACGGGGACATATTTAACATCAACCGTATCAGAGCCAAGTCGAAAACACCAATCACATCCGTTATTGAATTCCAATATGCTGATGATGCCCAAGTCAGTGCCTGCTCAGAAGCTGACATAAAGGACGTCGTCAACATGTTTACATCAATGAATACTAGCAAAACAAAGATCATTTTTCAACAAGCTCTGGGAGGACACCTACCACCCCCTACAATCATTACCAACAATGCAATATCAGAGATATTACAGAGGGCGCACGCTGGTGTTACATCTCCGGTGAATTGAGAATGGGCAAATGGGGTGGATTGTGTTTATTCTAATCAGCGAAATGTATAACAATGTATTTACCAATATACGGGTACACAGGTCTCTCCATACAGTTGATTATCGATTAACCGTGCGATTATCCGGCTGCTTATAAAGTTATCCGGTGGTGCCGGGCAGATTCGGCGAACCGAGCAAACCGCTCCAAAGGCTGTAGCTGTGCTTAATTTCAGTGTTAAATATTACATACAGTGCATTATACACTACATACAATTTAACAATACAATTTAACAATTAAAGTACCCCACTCAGAGTCTTAGAGATTGGAGTGGTAGGTAAGGTACAGTAAATAGGTAACCTTTTAAAGTTGGATTTTAGTTGTCTATTTGTATATTTATTTATGCCCATTTCACATAGTAAACAAATTAAAAACACTAAACAAATATATAACAACACCTAAAAACGTAACGGTGTATAAAAATGTGCTAAAACATTTTTTTTAAATAATGATTTCGTGATTATTGGGCATTTTTGAAAATTCAGCACCCCCAAGCCGCCGAGTAATCGATGATCGACTGTAAATAGCTAAACATATATTTAGCTATAGATCTCATACACATATGTTACTTGTTCAGACACTTTGAATAGCGTGCAGCAGACATCCTATTTTTTTTACAAATGTCATCGGATGGTTTTTAGAACGAGGAATTCCACTCGCGCTCCTCCAAGGGCGTTTCGCCTTTGATGATGGCGTTGAGGTTGTTTCACCATTTGCTGTCTTCCAGAGGAGTTATTCATCTCTCGCGAGCGGAGGCCCTCACGACGTGAAAGAAGATTCCTCCACGTGTAGACGTTGTTGTCTGATAGATGGACTGCCACTTGGGAAGTGTCTTGACAGAGTGACATGCGGCGTTAGTAGTGGCACTGCGCTATTGTGAACCCGACGGCCCGAGTTCAATTCCCGCTCACGGCCAACATCGGTGACAAATATCTGAACTGGGCCTTGCCTAGGTCGATCTGGCCGTAAAATGAGTTACCTGGTGCGGTGTGCAAACATCAGCACTGGGGAGACAAAGGCGGTCATGCGGGGTGCTGGCCGTCCACACCCTCGTGTGCCGTGTCGGCATTAAACAAACAACACTTTCCCCAATAGCCTGTTAAAGGCTACACATGTGGCTTTGTTGTATGTGCGTGTATGTGTGAACACAGCCCCATCAGTGAGCTCCTCCAGCAGGCTGGATCATAGCCTGGGTTGCGTAGCCTGGGTCACGTAGCCGGCATGCCCAGCCACCGCATGCTACGCGTAGTGGGGTGGATGAGTGCCGAATGCTGGCTCCTAACTATCTCGCCGATTTGCTCAAGTTGTATATACAACTGCGACAACTTAAATCAGCTGATGCTGGTCTGCTTATCATTCCAAAGACAAGAAGACTGCGGTGGTATTGAGGTTCTAGGGGAGACACGGAGCCTTCTGCAGCCAGGCTGCGCAGTTGTGGAACCCCCTTCGTCCGTCTCACTTTTTAAAACTCACCGATTTGTACTTGCAGGCTTTCCCTGTAACTTAACATGAAAAAAACAATTCCGTTGTCTGATTGGATTACTCTGAAATTATTATTGGCTTTTATCATAGTTCTTCATTTGATGGCAATTTTGAGTCATCATTAATATTGTTATTGTCAGCTTTGTATTTCGCTTATATTGTATCTCTACTTGTGAGTGTAGTTTTATTTTTACGTCTAGCGCTTTGAGGTACTTCAATATGACAGGCGGTTTATAACGTAGAGGTTATTATTATAATAAAGTAGAGGTTATTATTACTTTAAAGTAGAGGTTATTATTATAAAGTAGAGGTTATTATTATTTTAAAGTAGAGATCATTATTATTAATGCTCATTCTCATTCGGGAATAGGAGCACCGGTTGACTGCTTGACATTTGATTCTGGCAACGATGCCACAGCGAGACCTGTTCTCTGCCATCACTGTGTGCACGATACTTTATACCTTTACGGCGTGCGCTGTTCACTCATCGATGAGCATGGCAAGGGGTGCTTTATTTCTATAGGGTATTTTTTAATGACAACGTCACGTCATTCATACAAAATGTGGAGGAAACATTTGCAGCCAGCAGCAGCAGCTGCTGCTTACGAGGACCAGGCCAGTGTGATGGACTGCTTTGGGCGCTTTCCGCAATGCCAGTTCCTCGCGCTGTCACATCTGTTTCATGTTAAAGCCTCGTCTCTCACAAAGCTGCTGGAAAGTCGCATCCTGGAAGCAGAGACATTACTCGATTGCAAACAAATACATATTCATGTATCTATCAGGAAAGCCTCACTGAGTAGTAAGATTCATTCAGGATGGTCCTGCCAAGTTTTTCGGAGTAGGGGGCGATGTCGCTGCTGCTGCTGTGTAATCCCAATTGAGTAATTTGCAGGTATTTATTCAGCATTGGAATGTCTTGACCAAAACGGGTTATACTTGTAGGAGAAGCTGCCTGTATATCAGCGACAATCCCAACGTGATGTGCACGGTGGCGCAACCAGCGCTGGCACTGGGTAAACTGGCATTAAAAGGACGACACGGTGGCGAGATCTTAACAACCTCGCCTAGTATACACGAGATTGTGGGTTCAAATCCCGACCCTAACGCCTGTATATTTGGAGTTTGCGTGTTCTCCTCGTGGTCGGTTGGATTTGTCTACGGATCCTACGATTTTCCCCTCCATTTTTAGAAACATGCGTTTAGAGCATTTGGTAGCTTCAAACATTTTACATGATAAGCAACTTCGTTGAGATATCATTTGTGTCCAAATCGCTTCTGAAAAATATATTTAGCTCAGTGGGCCTTACCTGGTAAAATAAAACCATTTTAGCTTTCAGAGTCCATGTTCATAATTTTTTTCTTCAGTAACTCGCCGTTGCAATGACACTTATCAATCAAACAAGCAACATAATACACGCAACATAAGGGGAACCTACTGGAAAATCTAACACTCAGCACGCGAATGCTGCTCACGTGCTGAGAACTCCCCTGAGGGGTGCACATTTCTCGCGCTGGAGGGGGAGCGAGGGACGAGGCGGCCCATGGAGGCGCGCCGCTGAACGACCCGGGGGACTTGAGGAATGCAGACCCTGACCCACAGCGCTCCCAATGCGGTAATAATTGACCCCATGAACCCGAGGCCAATCCGGCTGTGGCCGATTTCCCCACCAAGCTCACTGGCGCCAAACAGCTCCCACGGTCACCCTAACTACCGCTCGGTGTGCAATGACCATCATTTGTACTCAAATCCAAATTGGGCAAATTATTGGCACTTTCTTGCAGACTCCTCCATAAACTGTGGGCTCCCCGAGTTAAGACTCCGAGCAAACACTCTCAAGCCTCACCAACGTCGCTCTCCGCCAATTGCGGTGCAAGGTTTTCGCGATCCACTGCACATTGCACATGGTTCTCGTTCTGATACATTAGTCTCCTGTCTCTGTCACACAGCTCTCGCCACAAAACATCCCTCTCCCTAATGCTCTCACCTCTTTGCTCGTTGTACGTCCTTGACCCACGCCTTGAAAACTGTGCCCTGGTGTCAGGCTCGATGGAGTCAGAGCGGCCTGGCAGGGCTCACGAAATCAGCCCAGGCTGGACTCCAGCTCCTCTCGGATAGGGGGGAGCAGGAAGAGAGCTGTTGTGTGGGGAGCCACCGTGACGATAAATCTACGCTAAGGGAGAGTGAACTTGGCTGGGCCAAGGAGGCACGGTTGGATATGTATGGTGCGAAAGATGTTCAACATACATACAAAAAGTACAAAGATCCCCTGAATAGCCTCAACAGCCTGTTGGGGCAAGTGCCGTTAGCGAGCACCTATGAAGGTCGGAACGCTACACGAGGGGATGGGTGGCCAGCACCACGCCCGGCCTCCTTTGTCTCCCTCCTGGCAATGTTTTTACACGTAGCATTAGGTACTCAATTGAGGCTGAGTCTATCCTAGGGGCAGCCCAGGACCGGTTCAGATATACGTCACTGATGTTGGCCGTGAGCGGGAATCCAACTCGGGTTGTTGGGTTTCGTAGCGCGGGCGCGCTAACCGCTACACCACCGCTCCATGTATACATCATCACACACCCGCCGAGCGCAGTCTCTCAGCCAAGCCGCCTGCATCACTGAGGCGGCACGCTCCCCGGCGAACCATGGAAGCGCGTGGCACAGGCCGGCAGTGGCGATGCTACTCAATTTCTCAGTGTTGCCCATTGCGTGAACTCAACCCCGTGCGTGTTGCCCCTGTGTGTTCTCTGGTGGTGGTGGTGGTGGTGGAGGAGTGCAGGTGCAGCAGCAGGGAGGTAGAGCCCTGGCAGGTGACGGTGCAGTGAGGCTGGACCACGGTTCTCCGGAGTCGGCGTGGTCCGATCTGCACGTGGAGAATGGTATACGCCACTACTTTACTGGGGCCGATCCATTAGCCAGCTCAATCATTGACCCACAAAGTCAGCAAACACTTTGCCTTGCCAGTGGTCGAGCTCAAGTAGTGATCGCCACCAAATATACAGCAGGCGTCGTGGTCGAACCCACGACCTCCTGTATACCAGGGGAGGTAGTTCACATCTCCTGGCCACCGTGGCGCCAGAAGGAATCAGTGAAAGAGCGGGTGGAGCAACTGAGTGCAGAAGAGGCACGGGATTCTCGTAACCGGGGAGGGGATTCTGATGAACAGGGGCTTGATAAAAACAAAGTCCTGCTTCGAACAGTATTTCGTCTGTGCTTGGGTACAATTGACCAGGCGTTCTCTACCTGGCAGGATGCACAGAGTTAAATCTTGACTTAAAGCTTTCATGACTGCAGGAATTCATATTCTTTGGGTCTTTCGGTAAAGTCACGTAAATAGGTTCAAATTAATCAAAAATATAAAAAAAAACTACGTTTCGATCACAAACACAAGCGATCGTTATCAGGAGGATGATGACCACTTGTGTTGTGATCGAAACGTCGTAGTTTGTTTATTTTATTTTCATAATTTTTTACCTATTTACGTGACTTTACCGAAAGGCCCAAAGAAGACGCACAGAGTTGGCCGTCTGGACCAGGAGTCGGCAGCCTGTGGTCTGCGGAACCGCATTCGGTCGCTCATTGGCTTCCTCGTTGCGAGCAGCCGGGTTTTTAAAAATGTAAATCTTCAACGTAATTTAACGTCAAGATAATTAATTAAATATGGCAGTGAATGGGTCACTGTGGAATGTCTTGGTGACAAGAAAATGTACGACAGTCAAACTAGGAAATAAGTAGACGCAGTTTATTCCATCTATTTTGTTTATTTGAGTCCGAATGTGTTATTGTTGCCGTCTGCTGTGTTTGTGTACAAGTGGCTCTGCATATGATGCGGCTCTCGAACTATTTTGATCACAGACAAAAACAAGGCATCTTATTTGAAAGACTGCCGACTCCTGCTCTAGATAGACAACCTACCATGCAACCACAAGTGAGCATTGCTACCGGCTTTGCTGTGAAGCCAGGCGACATTCTTTTCACCATAAGTGAACTGTGGCCTACGGATTGTGTCGACTTTAAATTAAACATTAGAAGGCGACCCTGAGGTAAACATCATATCACACATTTTAATAAACAGTCACTTATATATTTTTTTAAAGGTTCAAGTCGTGTGAGTACAATGCCAGTGTGTGTGTTGCCACACGCCCCTCCGGCCACCAGACACAGGCGAATACGCAGTCTGTTGGGTCCGGCACACCGCTGCGCTTCAGGGCGATGCTTTACTGGCTGCTTTATTCAGGCCCGCAACTTTAATTTGTTTGACCGTGAGTAGTGCGAGGCGGGCGGGCGACGACGACACCCTCGGGCATTGCAACTCACGCGAGCTGGCGCAGATGATACCATTCGTGGAGGGTAGGATCGGACGCGAGAGGCTGCGCGCCAAATCGGTTGTGCCCGGTTCGGATTGCGACGGTCGCCTTCAGTGGAGTCGACATCTCAACGGGAGGCGTTAGGGAGGCAAGCGGCGCGAGGATTGAGGAGAGAAGTTGAGTTTGAGACGTTACTTGTGCAAGACTTTGTCGCCTGGTGAGCGGCAAATGTCCATTTGACCCTTCGCTGCCAAGGACGCTTTCGCTATCAGGGGTCGGCGCTGGTGCGCTAGGAGATGTTAACTCCCTCGTCTGGTATGCAGGAGGTCGTGGGTTCCATCTCGACCCCTTGACGCCTGCTGCTGCTGTATATTTGGAGTTTGCGTGTCTCTCTCTCTCTCATCATTATCATCACGGTGGCTAGATGTTAACTCCCTCGCCTGGTATGAAGGAGGTCCTGGGTTCCATCCCGACCCCTCGACGCCTGCTGCTGCTGCTGTATATTTGCTGTATATTTGGAGTTTGCGTGTCTCTCTCTCCCTGTGGTCACATGGATTTTCTCCAGGTCCACCGGTTCCCCCCCCCCCCCCCCCCCACATTTAAAATAAACATCACCATACGTTTAGAGTATTTGGCTACTGCTATAGAGTATTTGGCTACTGCTATAAATTTGCACACGATACGCCATACTTCGTTGAGCTCATCATTTGTGGCGAGGTCCGCTTCTGAAAAAAACAGCTCTATAGCACTTCAGTGGGGCCTGACCTGGTTAAAATGTAAAATAAAATATTGTTTAGTTTTAAATAGTTTTATTATTGTGCGAATGTAACATCGAGCAAGTGAGCATGAAGTCTCCGTTTGTTGACCCCGCACAAACTCAAAGGGACTCTCTCGGCGTTCGTCGTGAGCGCTCCCTCACAATGCGCACGGCGATGGCTCCGGTGATGTCCGGGTTGTACTGCACACCGCAATGTCTCTACGACCCCGGGGGGGGGGATTTTGGAAAGTCGATGTACGAAGAGTTTTACGCTGCGGCACATTCGTACGTTTCCGCGAGTCACACATAAAAGCCCCAGTGTCGTTTATTATCCGCGCCCTCTGGATGTTTCCCCGAGTTTTTTTATATAATTATTATTGTTGCAAGTCCTTGTAAATTGCAAGTACATCTTACTTCTTTTTTTGCCAAGAATGTCTGCGTGTCCGAGGGCGGGCGGGGGGGATGTGAGTTGTTTTTTCCATGGGAACATCACGAACGTTAGGGGAAGGGTTACCAGAGGTATGGCGTGGGTGGGTGGGAGGCATGGGGTTTGGCAAAGGGAAGTAGTAGTACATAGTAATAGTAGGTAATAGTACATAGTAGAATGTAGTAGTACTCAGTTGTACGTAGTATGTAGTAGTATGTCATAGTACGTAATAGTATGTAGTTGTCTCAGCCTCACTGTGCGCTCCGTTGCACCACTATCTGAGTAGATAACCTCGCATTCAATAAACCTTCAGAGCCAGGGTGAACATCCGACTCCAAACATATTTAATAAATTGAACGAGGTAAAACTGATGGAAAAACACAGCACAAGTACAGCATCTGTTAATACTTGGAAATATCAATACAATGAATGAACACTACAGCATCATAACATTGTCTTAGATAACATGAAACTCAACAATAGATCATGGATGAACCAGGCACCCACATTAGTACTGAACAGCTATACAAGAGAATAAGCTACTGTGTTAAACAAGGGCACATTGTGTAATCACCATACTGCAGCCTAAATGTACAGCACTACACATAACACTGAACTGTGGATGAGATATTTCGTAATCCTTGCTCTCAAGATCGCAATAAGGTTACATGGGTACAAGTCTGACTCGACTTATTCAATTATAAGTAACATTCACAATAAGGTGAGTGGCAGGCTTCGTTGTTAACTAGGCCTCATATTTATCATAACAATTTAACATTATAAAGGCATTTACAGCACGATAACGGCCATTCTAACATTATAACAGCATTCCCAGTATTATAAGAACATAAACGAACTTACAAACAATGCTTCTTAAAGTACCACAATACACAGTTGCACCTGTCTTCACTGGGACGCTATTTGTGCCACCATTTTGTACTTTGTGTAATGGCTGATACCCTGACACGTGGCTTAGAGAAATATCCAATCGTAATTTCCTGGCCACGTGACCAAACTCAACATCAATACAGGAAATTCCTGTGTACGTACACCCCCACACCGGCCGTGAGGCAGAACACTCCCCGTCTGGTATTTAGGAGATACCACCATTTATTTTTTATTTCATTAACAAATGTATAACAAACTTCAACAGGTCAACTTATTTGTCCATATCTGTGCGAGAGAGAAGTAGTACTGTCTCAGCTATAGGCCTGACGAAAGTTCTTGCGACACCTTGCTTCGCAATCATAACCTCAACCTTTCAAACTTTTCCATCGGCACTGGGAAGCGTCTTGAGGATGCAGCCCATTGGCCACTCATTCCGTTTGACTTGGTTGTCCTTCAGTAGGACGAGGTCACTTTCTTGGATGTCTGGTCTGTTCGACTGCCACTTGCTGCGCACTTGAAGTATCGTAAGATACTCGTTTTTCCAGCGACGCCAGAATGTGTTGACGAAGCTCTGCACTTATCTCCATTGACGTCTGTAGAGGTCTGCAGTGCTGATCTCCTTGGTGGGTACTGTGAGCACGTCTGTCTTCTGGGTAAGAAGTGTAGCAGGAGACAATGCTTCTTAAAGTCCCACAATGAACAGATGCACCTGTCTTCACTGAGACGCTATTTGTGCCTCCATTTTGTACTATATAATGGCTGACACCCTGCCGCATGGCTTAGAGAATGGCAAATCGTAACTTCCTGGTCACGTGACCAAACGCAACATCAATACATGAAATTCCTGTGTATGGTTATCTACTCGGATAGTGGTGCCGTGAGGCAAAACACCCTCCTCCCCACCATTGCATTGCGAGACGAGTCCAAGAGTTGGGTGGAGAGAAAAACGCGAGAAGGCGCATTCATAAAAAGTGTGGCGGCAAGGGCACCGATGACCGCCATCACGTAGTCTATTATCCTGTGGCGCTCGTGGTTGCGTTCCTGAAGGAACACCACGTCATGGGAAAATCGCATTATAATAAATAATGTATCATATTCGTAATTAAGGTTTTTTTCTCTCTTTCTTTGGGTTGAGATCGCGTAAGTATAAATGTGTCGTTAACCCCGCCACCACCCGATAAGCCAGTTAGTAAGGTTTGCCACATAAACAAAACAGATCAATTCGTTGTAAATGTTGTGGATTTACTCCGACACACTGAAGTAGTAACCCGTCGCGTTATAGCAGAACTGACTATCATCACATCACGATCAGCCACGCTAAATCCAACTTCCACATTTACAGGATAATTTATCCACGTGTTTTGTATTATTCGTGTTATTTATTTGTATCATTGTACAATTTAGCTAAGTACATGGATGGTATTTATGTGTACGGTACAGGATTAATGTGATGAAACATCATTTTCTCCCGTATGTGTTCAGTCGGACACGGATAGCTACCCGGCCTCCCGCCAAATATAAACGTAGTACAGCAGTAAAGTCGCAAATTCTACTTTCGCACAGACGTTCAAGAACCCAACCCCTGCAGATGTCGAGCCTTTACCATATCCCACCGTCTCTCAGTGCGATTCGAAGCTTGCTTTTCTCCATGCTCTGCGCTTCTCGGATGTTGTGCTGTCAGCACGTTGAGTTCATGACTGTTTGTGACCCGCATGTCAAAAGCAGGTCGCACAGACAAAGACACTCCCTATTATACACCTTAGACTGTTTTTGGCATCATCAGGGTAGAGACATCATAATCACATTGACCTTTTGATCAAAGGGGGACTGACGAGAGTTATCGTGACCCCGTGTTCCAGACAGACAGACACGCCGACACACACACAGACAGATAGAGACACTGAAAAGCAGACAGACAAAGACAATGATAAAGATCCCCCGTATCGTCTTAACATACTTTTAGCGAGCACCTACGAAGGCTGGCAGGGGCACACGAGGGAGTGGGGTGCCCAGCACCACGCCCAGTGGCGATGTTTACACACCGCACTACTGCACTAGGTACTCATTTGACACCGAGTCGACCTTGGGGAGACCCAGTACCGGTTCAGATAATCGCCACCGGTCGGGTTCGTAGCGCTAACCGCTACACCACCGCTCCCCCCCTATAGCAGGTAGCAACACATATTCTTGGTTCTTTCGGTAAAGTCACGTAGAAGGGAAATACGTGACTTTACAGAAAGGAACAAAAATATGAATCCCTGCAGTCACGAAAGCTTTAAATCGAAAGGTAGCAACACCTCAAGGAACACTCAGCGCTCCGACCCACTCAGCGCTCCGATCCATTTCAGTGTGCCTCTTTATATCATCATCGCGTTCATTCAATCGCTGCTCTCCGTACACTACAGCTTAATATATTTGCCAGATATCCCTGATGGTCTAGTGAACGAGTCGGACGTGATTTTTGTTGTGTTTATCCCTAACTTGGCAGCCTTTTCGATGACGTTCGAACGTTTCCTGTCGCTCGAATATTCCCACGCTGCGGCTGAAGTTAATTGGACGGTGAACATTTGCCACGAGTTAAGTTGCGTAGAGCCTTACTTTTTGCATTATTCCGCTTGTTTACCCACGAAAGGTCCAGTCTCATGGCTTTCCAGAAGGCTCCTGCCAAGTTTCACAGGAGGGGACCAACGGTTCGAATTGAACTGCAATTTTCGATATTGGGCCTCAACAATATACAGCAATGTACAGTAATGTAGAGGTAAAACACATTCCTGCGGAGGGAGCTGGTAGGAACGTTGGGTTGCCCGGCACAAGCCGGTGTGAGTAGGTTAAACATTGAGTTTTCTAAGGGCGCCACGGGGTGACCAGCCCCTCCCCACCCAGCCCCACCCCTCCCACCCCCCACCCAGCCCCACCCTCCCTACCCAGCCCCTCCCCACCCACCCCACCAAGCTCCTCCCCACCTTCCCCTCTCCACCCAGCCCGACCCCTCCCATTTTTGGATGCACAACGGACGGACACAATAATTCCCCTGTGGGCTGGTGGAACCAGGTGGTTATTACCAGTAATAGCAACTGCTGTATAGTATTGCATCGGTAATCCTCTGTGTCACTCAGCGGAAGTGTAAAAGTGACGACACAAAACATAATGTGTAGATATTTAATGTGAAGATAGTTAAACCATTTATTGAACGTCAAACGGTAATTGAATGGAGAAGCATGACACAGTGAGTTAAACACAGCCCTCCCTGCAATATAACCTATTCAAATTATATTCTTTGGGTCTTTCGGTAAAGCCGCGTAGATATATAAAATAATAATACAAAAATCACGACGTTTCGATCACAACACAATCAATCGTTATCAGGTGAAAGAGAGCAGCTCTCCCCGCTATATGTTTTCACCTGATGACGATTGCTTGTGTTGCGATCGAAACATCGTGATATTGTTATTTTTTATGATTTTGTCTATCTACGTGGCTTTACCGATATACCCAAAGAATATTAATTCCTGCAGTTACAAAAGCTTTACGTCAAGATTTATTAAAACTATATTTTATTTTACCAGGTAAGTCTCATTGAGCTATACAGCTCTTTTTCAGAAGCGACTTGACCACAAATGATAGTTCAACAAGGTGGTTTATCACGTGGAAATTTATAGCAGTCAAATGTGGAGGGAAAAACCGAAGGACCCGGAGAAAAACCCATGAGAACATGAAGAGAGAGAAACATGCAAACTCCAAATATACAGGCGCCAGTCAGGGTCAGGCTCGAACCCACAACCTCCTGTATACCGGGCGAGGTAGTTAACATCTCACCACTGCGACGATACTTTCGCAATGGCAACACCTGCAAAGGAACATTGGGTTTGTACCGTGAGGCTGCGTCGCGACGGGCGAGAGAGCGTCCACAGAGGCGCGGCCGATCCTTGGGGACACGGGGATTCTCGCCGCAGTGGCTTCCCGCTGGGTTTCAGGGGCTACTCGTGTCATTATAACTCGCAAGCCAGCACGTCCAAAGGATGTGGCCGTCCGTCCCTCTCTCCAGCCGGCAACGCTTGTTTGGAATATACAGTGGTCCCTCGGTGAACGATATTAATTGGTTCCACGAAAAACATCGTCATTTGAAACTATATTTGATCGATGGCATCGTGAACCGAGGGATCACTGTAGTATGAAAATCTCGTGCAAACCTCGGAGAAAATAAAAAGACAACGTAACTGACTGGAGGATTTTGTTCCAACTATTTTGGAGAATCCAGGAAAGTAGAAATTGCAGAAATACCCTTCAGTAATTATTCTTACTGTGGCACCACAGTTTATTTTCTTCTTGTTGTCAAGGAGTCTGTATGTTCGTTTCTCAGTCCCCCTTGTCCTAGTGAGGGTCGTGTCAGCAGCATTTTGAGAAGGGCGGTCCAAACCTCCCTTTCCCTGGCGACAGACTGCAGCACGACATTACTATACACTACGATACATTACTACACTGTACACTACTATACATTACTACACTGTACACAACTATGCACTGCACTATACAGTATACTACCATACACTACACTACACTTTACACTACTATACACAACACTACTATGCACAGACTAGCTCTTCCTGGGAATTCCCAGGTGTTCCCAGGCAAGCCGAGCGCCTGAGCTACATAGTCCCGCCAGCAGTGTGTCCTGGGCCGGCTCCGGGGTCTGTTGCACACTTTCAAAACCCTAAGATAAGATTGGGGAAATGCTTAGATTGGAGAATAAAGGAGCGTATGAGGCAACAACTAAACGTGTTGGCGGTGCACCAGTGGTGCGCGGTATAAAAAAAGCTAATATTTCGCAATAATCATGTATTTTGCCGCGATTCGCAACCCCGGTCAGAAGTTCTTGCGGGATGGTGGTGGTGCCTCAAAATCAGTTATCGTGATGTCGAAGCAGTCAGAAGACGAATGTCAGCTGAAATGTTGATTTTAGACCTGTTTCATGAGGACCGGTGTGTTATGCTGCATCGTACCGCTAACATGTACACATACAGGCGAACTTGGACAAGACAACATCGCTGCTGCACACCCAAACCCAGTGACGTGGGGAATCGCACTCGACCCGGAGCGAGCACCCGTAATGCGCGCCGAGAAAGCAGAGCGGGTGCGTGAGCCCGTCCCACCTGACGGGCCCTTGCTCTGTGCCACTCGTCGCCCCTCCCCACAGGCCCCGTGCCAGGCTCCCCGGGGGCGGCATGGAGCCTCGTGCTGTGTGCGGAAAGCGGCTGCCTTCCTCCATGTCTGCCGCATCTCTCTCAACGCCACAAGGTGCTGGCGGTGGCTAGGATATGTTAACAACTACCTCGCCTGGTATACAGGAGGTTCGTGGGTTCGATCCCAACCCCTTGACCCCTCTTTATATATTAGGTGGCGCAGGTAACGGTGGGATTGTGAAGTTCCCCAGCGTCGCGTTAGTACTGATGTGTAGTAGTATGCCTCTGCATCTCCACATCACAGAGTTTGTGGAAAGCTTGAATGCGAGTTGGGTGAGCAGTGTAAACGCACTGGACAGCCAGGGCCCTGTGCGAGGACCGATTCTCGGTGGCATTTTATCTCGGCACGGGCAGCAAAGGCTGCAACAAATTGGGCTTTCTTACCACTGATCACACTGGAGGCCGCTGACTGCTCAACTGCCTTGGTCTGATCGTTCAGGTGTACAACAATGAGGCACTTGTCAAAAGTACACACATGAAAAAACAGCGGAATGGATGCACCTTTGGGAGGCGATTTGGAGTGGACCAGTCAAGATGGTGAACAATGAGAAGCCACACGGTGATGGGCCTCAAACTGAATTATTTCTAATCCATGCGTAACGTGTGCCCATGTCGTGGATTATTAACGGAGACACAAACTGAAACGTGCGCACAACGGGCACGGAGAGGATGCATGCTTGGATTTTCATTTTAGAGACGGAAAGAGAGATACGTGGATTGGAGAACACGTGCAGGGTTAATAAATCATTCAAAATTATTCAAAGAAAGCGAAGGGGGCTTGGGTGGAACGCGATGCCAAGGAACGGAACTCTCCCAAGGTGCTTGTTGGATAGTGCAAGCACGAGCTGGATTCTGGCATCGCAGGATCGTGAAAGATTGCTTTTGTCTTGGGGTGGCCTTCATCCAGCAGTGGATTGATCATGGCCCATAATGATTACGCCCCGCTACTACGAACCACGCGTTGGTTGGCAATGAACACTCGCCGTCGTTCTTGTGTGCGCCGTTTTTGAAGGTGAACGAGGCTCCAGGAGTGAGCGACTCACTGTTGAAGCCCGATGCCTTCTGCTGGCTGATGCAGCACGTCGGCAATCTGTCCGGTGAGGCGCAGCGTGCACGCCCCCCTCCCCACGCCTTGCGTGACGTGCCTCGTGCGTCCTGGGTGGGCGGCGTGCCCACACGGCCGCCACGCCAACGGTGAAACCCAAAATTCACGCAGACGTGATGTTATTATGTTTTATTTTTATTATTTTTTTACTTCCCTTCTACGTGACTTTACCGAAAGAACCAAGAAGATTAATTATCTTTGTTTTATGAGGCGAATTTCATCATGAATTATCTCTTAAATGCTGCACATTAAAAACAAAACGACACTCAGTTTAACACGTAGGTTTTCGCGTCCAATATTATCCATAAGAGGTATTTTGGGCTAGATCGCGTAAAATAATGACACTCCCAAGATAAAGATGACAACTGCACTGGCAAGAGAGATAACGTGAAGAACAAGCGACAATGAAAGCCAATAATCAACTACAGTGGCACTCGGGTTCCCATACCATTAGTCGCACAAACCCACCCAGCCCTATTTACTCCGCTCGATGCCCACGGACCCCGAAATCACCTCAACCGTGGTCAAGCCGACCTGGAATTTTTACAGATGCCCCGCCTCCAACCTCGCTAATAGCAAATGCAGCCGTGACCGTCCGGCGCCGAGTCCCACCCTCCCGGGTGCCGAGGAGGAACCTCTTCCCAACCCTGGTTGCGTCGTACATGAGGGGCTCGGTCTACGGAATCGGTGTGGCACCTACGAGGCTCGGACCACGGAATCGGTGTGGCATCTACGGTGCTCGAACCGCAGAATCGGTGTGGCATCAATGGGGCTCGGACCGGGGAATCGGTGTGGCACCTACGGGGCTCACGACTGCGCGAGCAGAAACCCATCGCCCGGCTCGCTCCGACCATTCAAGCGCGCCGCCCGACCGCACTCCTCAAGCGCGCCATCCTTCATGGCCACGTTCCATCCGCACAAAAGGGTGTGGACCGGGAACGGCGTTGATTGAGCAGCCCCCTTGTGGCTCGGGTGAATTAGCGCACAGCCAGGCCCGTCCCCAGCGTTCGCCGCCCACTCCACGTTAATTCACGCACACCCGCGGTGGAAACGCATCGCATCGCTCGTCGTACTCGGGATCGCTTGAACGAGTTGCAGAGAAAAATCATCGAGAAAACGCAGATTTCTCGCGATCTTGCAAGTTCGAGTGAGCAACGTTTCGGCTGAACGCATCCGTCCCCTTGTGTTAAACCCGCACGCAAGGCCCATCCATGTCACACGAACATGTGCCGGGCCCCGATGGTGGACCCCACAGAGAGGCGCGTATTGTGGTGACGACGGCAGACTGAGAGTGATGCCCCCCCCCTCTCTCTGCCCGCGCCCTCAGCCTGGCTTTCCCCTCGGTGCTGGCTGCTGCCCGCACAGCGAGCGCCGTGGCAGAGAGCGGCGGCCGCGCTGCCTCCCCGTGGCGATTGGGCCGTGAGCACCACGGAGCTGGGCGCCTCGCCTCTCTGGCTGGACACGGAGGCCCTGCAGAGGACGGAGTCCCGGGCCGAGTAAGCACGGCGGCCATGGTTGGTTTTGTTTGCAGCGCGAGGCAGCAATGCTTGCTCGACGTTGCTCTTCTGGTGCTAAGAACGTTCGGTCGCCGTTTTTTTGTGCGACATTCATTGTGGGGAGGGGGGCGGGGTTTGTCAACTTCGCGGGGTAGCCCACGAGAAGGTGAACTCCAAAACATGCAACATGTATAGCAGTGATGTGCGGTGAGGTCAATGGCTGGGAAGGCACTGGCTGGTATCAGTGCCAGATTTACACACCGAGGGGGGCGTGTCCTCACTGAGGGGGCGTGTCTATCATGCCCCCTCAGTGAGGCAGATGTGATAGCTGCCTCCCCTGGTGCTTTTTCATTGCAGTTTCATGACGAGACCAGCGAGCCTAAATATATTTATACACATACGTGAAATAAGTTACCTGGAGTATGGAAGGCGAGGACATGAAATGAAGGGGTCTACAAATATTACATTGGTGACACACAGAGAGATAGTAACAGGCACGCGCTTATTGCCCGCGCTCCATCCAGTATATAAGGGGTTGCGTAATCAGAGGGGAGGCTGAACTAGTCGCTGCCTCACTTCTCGTCTCTTCCTGTATTTGCAGCGGAGCTCTGCAAATTTAGGCGATTTTTGACCATAAAAATGATTGTAATCGTACAGAAATTACATTTATAACAGATCAGTGGAAAAATAAAAAATAAATTGTTTATTATTTTTTACTTTTCGTAACAGCTATTTTCATTGGAGTATGACCGGTGAGGCTGTGCCTCCCCTGCCTCTGTGGGGGCCGTTGGCCCCCGGGGTCTCTTCCTCACCCATCCCCTATTCCGGTTGCGTTGCCACACCGCGCTAATACCCGCTAGGGTGTCGCCGGCCTTCAAACGCGACGCCCCTACTCATACAGCCTCGCGCAGCGCTCCCACGCTGCGAGCATATGTACGCACAGCATCATCAATCAAACGCCATACTCCCCCTTTCTACACCGCTACGTACAGCTCTCGCACGCTGCGAGCGTGTGCCCGTCTACAGCCCTGTGCGGCACTCGCTTCCACGTCGAATAACCACGTTACCAATGCGTACCTATATCCGACACGTAGCGAACGTACGCACACACCCACAGCTCCACACGCGACACCCACTCTTGCGCCGCTCTGCGCAGCGCTCCCACGTGGCGAGCCGCTGTATACACAGCACCACACGCGTTCACACTTCTCAGCGAGATCACACAAGGCTACGATCAGCTATTAATGATTTATTGTCTGCTACCTGGGACTTGTTGTTAAGTCAGTATGAATCGACGAGGCTGGCCTACGCTGATACCTTTATGCCTATTCCCGATTTATCTGCTTACGATACTATTTCACCTTGCTACTCACGGTTCGAAGTATTCGGCGTCCTGTGGCTTTTCCTCGATGCTCGTCTGGACACGTCCCGCGGACGTCCGGAGGGCAGAGATGGGAGCCGTCTTGAACGCGGGCCTCTTGAAGTGAGATCTCCTCTATCTTGCTACCTTCGCTTTTTATCATATCTCCCCGTCCCAGGGCTCGGCCTCCCCCAGCACTCTTCGCTCCTTCTCGCGTTTATGCACGGCGCATATTCTAATCAGCACCATTCTCATGCCTCCCCATCACAATGGGTGGTCGGCTTGACTGCGCCGGTGCACGCCTTTGTCATGCCAATTATGCAGCGGCATCCGTCACAAAGGCTTGCCGTGGGAATTCATGCACGGGCCTCCGCATACCTCTGATTATTCGTAATTTCAGCCTTTACTCCCCAACTTCCCTAATTTCCCTAATAATGGTGCCTACGCACTCAAGTGTAATTATCCTAACCATCAGCGACTACGCGCAAGGGCCCCTGCGGCCATGCTAATCATGCCGTCCTGTCCCTCCCCTGCCTGCCTCGTCGATACGTGCGTGGGTGTGGGGGGTGCGTTTCAACCGCAGTGGCCGAGTGGCCCCTCGCCGCGACCTTGCAATCTTAATGCCGGTCGCAGCGCCGCGAAGTAGCATCGGGGGAGGTCGTCCAATTCCCTGTTCACCGGAAACCGTGAAAGTTATCCCGATAAGGGCTTCTCGGATTAAAACCGGTCGGCCAGGTGACTTCCCCTCGGAGCTCTATGGGGGGGGGGGGAAATGCGTGCGGGTGTGTTCATGTGAGGTGAGGTGGGGGGACGCGGGGGTCGGCTCCGTCACTTGGTGGTGGCGAGGTCGGGGATGGGGCGCCCGCCGAGCGGCTTTGTGGTGGCGGCATCACACCTCCCCTGACCGCACGTCCCTGATGTATAGCCGTGCACTGTTGGGAATATACATTTGAGCATGCACCCACCCGGTGCAGGTACACACCTGGTGGTGCGTGTCTGCACCTCAACCAATTGAACGGCTAAATCACTCACCACTGAATCTCTCATTGTTGCTCTTCTTCCTCCCTCTCACCTAAGCCACTTAGAAAATGTTGCCACAACGGTGCGACCATGGCCATGCAATCCAAACTATTGACCGCTGTCGTCTGCGCCCCTTCAGCGGAGGAATCGCAAAACTACACGAACTCTTTGCGAAAGCCCACTCGTCATGGCCAGTGGACCTCCGCATTGGCATTGAGCTCCTGAACATATTTCCGCCATTGTGCGCAAGAATAGAAGACCCCACTTAGACACCCTGACCCAAAACATCAGCTGAAACCAAGCAGCAGGTCTGGGCAGGTAAAAAATAAAGACGCGCGGGGAATGCTCGCTAGTCAAAACGTAAGTTGTGCCCTGGTCTAGCGATGTATTTATATCTGCTTCTCACGCGCTCTGCCCGTCTGCACGAGTTTAGGATTATTGTGTTTCAGGCACAGGGCTAACCTCTGTGTTTGTTTGTTAAAACTTGTATTTACCCGATTATAAGGATGCATCCTGGAATCCATTGTGTGAGTTTGTGATAACGAGTTTTAGGGAGCGGTAGCGCAATCTTGGGTCTCCCCCCTGTCAACTTAGCCAAAATGAGTACCTTGATGTTGTGTGTAAAACATCAGCACTGGAGAGGCAAAGGCGTGGTGCTGGCCACCCAACCCCTCGTGTTCCGTGCCGGCCTTCATAGGTGCCGCTCGCGAACAGCACTTACCCCAACAGTCTGTTAAGACAATGGGTGGGGTTTGCGGGGGGGGGCGCACGGGATGGGGGGGCAACGTCCCCTCCCAAACTGGGCACCTTTATACATTTATTTTTAGTAATTTACAATTAAGATTTGAAAGTAATTATATGCACCCGCGATTCCTAATGTGTGGGACAAAGCGAACCCCTGCCCCCCCTCCCCCCAATATAGAAGTCAAACTGTGCCTTTACCGGTAAAAGTAGAATGGCTCCTGTTGTGGCTCACCTTGCTTTCCAATCGAGCAAATGCAAGATCTGTAACGCGCCCTATTCGACGATAACGGCTGAGAAAGGAAGGAAGCGCGATGGTTAAGGCGACACGGGCGCATCTTTGTCTTTGCAGGGCACGCGTTGTGGTATGGGCACGGGACTGGCGCCCCCTATTGGTGCTAGGCCTGCATGTCGAGGTTGAGGCGTTTGTGTTGCTCAGCTCAACGCGGCCCCTGCACGCGTTCCTGCACGGGGACTGGGTGGTGCGCCTCCGCCACGCGCCACGCTCACAGCAGGCACGTGCACGGCCTCGCGTCTCGCTCACTCGCGTCTCGCTCACCTCGCGGCTCACTCGCATCTCGCTCACTCGCCTCTCACTCGCTCACTCGCGCCTCGCTCACTCGCATCTTGCTCACTCGCTCACTCGCATGTCGCTCACTCGCTCACTCACATCTCGCCTCTCGCTCACTCGCATCTTGCTGACCCGCGCACTTGCAGTTCACTCACTGGCATCTTGCGTCTCGCTCACTCACGCAGTCGCTCACTTGCTCACTCGCATCTCACTGACTTTGTCTCACCTCTCACTCATGCAGTCGCTCACTCGCGTCTCGCTCACTCGTTCACTTGCGTCTCGCTCACCCACGCACTCACTCACTCGCGTATCGCTGACGCGCGCACTCGCTCGTTTGCGTCTCGCTCACCCGCGCACTCCCTCATTCGTGTCTCGCTCACCCGCGCACTCGTTCACTCGCGCACTCACTCGCGTATCGCTGTCCCGCGCACTCGCTCGCTCGCGTCTTGCTCGCTCATGTCTCGCTCAATCACGCAGTCGCCCACTCGCGTCTCTCTCACTTGCGCACTCACTCACTCACGTCTCGCTCACCCACGCACTCGCTTCGCTCGCGTCTCGCTCACCTGCGTCTTGCTCACTCCCACCTCACTTACTCGCGCAGTCGCTCATTTGCGTCTCGCTCACTCGATCGCTTACGTTTCGCTCGCATCTTGCTCACTCGCGTCTCGCTCACTCGCGCAGTCGCTCACTCGTGCAGTCGCTCACTCGCGTCTTGCTCAGTCGCTCGCTCGCGTCTTGCTCGCTCGCATCTCGCTCAATCGTGCAGTCGCACACTTGCGTCTCTCTCACTGCGCTCTCACTCGCCTCTCGCTCACCCGTGCACTCGCCCACTCGCGTTTTGCTCACCCACGCACTCACTTCGCTCGCTCGCGTCTCGCGCACTCGCGCAGTCACTCATTTGCGTCTTGCTCACCCGCGCACTGGCTCACTCGCGTCTCGCTCACCCGCATCTCGCTCGCTTGCGCAGTCGCTCACTCGTGCAGTCGCTCACTCGCGTCTTGCTCAGTCGCTCGCTCGCGTCTTACTCGCTCGCATCTCGCTCAATCGTGCAGTCGCACACTTGCGTCTCTCTCACTTGCGCACTCACTCACTCGCGTCTTGGTCACCCACGCACTCGCTTCTCTTGCTCCCGTCTCGCTAACTTGCCTCTCGCTCACTCCCGCCTCACTTACTCGCTCACCAGCTCACTCGCTCACTCGTCTCGCTCACTCGTCTCGCTCACTCGCGTTTCACCCGCACACTCACCCGCGTCTCACTCACCCGCGTCTCACTCACCCGCGCTCTCACTCACCCGCGTCTCACTGACCCGTGCACTCACTCACTCGCATCTCCTTCACTCGCGCACTTGAATGTTCTCACATGTAGAGTTCCCGTTCATCCTCATAAACTGTTGCCAGCTTGGTTAAACTGCTTAGGCTGCAGTTGTAAGACTTGTGCCTCGTTTCTGGCATGGAAATATATGTTTCCCCCCTCTTCTGCATTAGTTTCCTCCGGGTTCCGCGGTGTCCACCCATAGCTAAAAAAACAACGTGCGATGTAACTGGTATTGGCCAAATATCCCATTGCTCAGAAAGAAAATGAACCTGTAAATTACTCAATTGGGATTACACACAGTGGTAACCTAGCACCCTACTGTGAAAACTTGGCAGGATCCTGATGAAAAAGAGTCCTGAGACTTAAAGAGGCGTTCATGGGTACACAAGTGTCATGGTTGTGAAATAATAATTATAGAGTACTACATGCATTTCGCAGACAGCGCATTGCGATGCACTGTTGTGAGCCATGCGTTGTGCGTGGAGATGGGGAGGCGCCACGGTGGCGAGATGTTAACTACCTCACCTTGTATACAGAAGATCGTGGGTTCGATCCCGACCATGACTCATGTTTTAAAGTTTGCACGTTCTCCCCGTGGTCGCATGGATTTTTCTCTGGATCCTTCGGTTTTCCCCTCCACATTTAGGAACAACATCACGCGTTTATATTAATTGGCTGCTATAAATTTCCACATGATAAGCGGCTTCATTGAGCTGTCATTTATGATTGCCAGATCGCGTCTGAAAAAGAGCTATAGAGCTCAGTGGACTTTACCTGGTAAATTGAAACATAGATTATAGTTTATTTCTTCATTGAAACCAGTACTGTTCCAATGCCAGTCCACTTTGTCCGGCCTACACTATAATAAAGGACTTCGCCGACACACTGCTTGGTCTCCGTCACTCTTTATTCCCGTTGACGCTCGCACTCCGCTGGTCCCGACAGCGGACCAGCTGCTCCTCGCGCGCGCCCCGCACGTGCTCCCCCGTCAGTCGCTCCGCTCCCCCGCTCCCCCGCTCCCGCACACCGCTGGCCGACGGTGTGCTCGAAGTTCCTCCAGCCACGTGGCTGATGGCGCGGATCCCCTCCGGCCACCCAACGTGGTCCAGCTTCGTGACTCTACCAACTGACCCGGAGCCCTTCCGGGATCCCATCTATATTCCCTTTACCACGTGATCCTCTCCTCCCTCTCACCACGCCCTTCACCGAACCTTCCAGATCCGGCCTCCGCATAGCGCCTTGCTGGCTCCGCCTTTAGGTTCCGCCCCTGCTCACCTCACATCCGATTGGACCCGAGGTGAGTGGCGGACCTTCACATACGCCCCATACTGGGCCCTGCCACCCAATACCCTGGGCCGTATGATTGGCCGAGAGCCGGGCAGCGAACCCCGCTTACGCTCGCATTACATGACCCCCCCCCCCCCTGATGAATCAGGATGAACATAATGCGAGCGACGGCAACACCCCCAAGAACCACAACAGACACAACGGAGAAGATAACAATAATGATGAATACAATCAACGAAAGGGAAGGGATCTGGAACGAGTGCAGGCTGCCGGCCCGTCCTTCACGAGAACAGGCACCCTCGGAGACCGCAGTCCGGACGGGGTTGAAGGAGCGACGGAACCGGAATCATCCGCCGCTGGTGGAGGCCCGTCCGTTGCAGAAACCCGTGCATCAGAGAGGCCCAAAATCGGGGCTCCTTCCAGCCGCAACCTCGGCGGGGTTTGAGGGGCAGCGGAAGCAGGTACTCCCGTCGCCGTTGTAGGCCCACCCGGTGCAAAAATGCCTGTGTCTGGTAGGATCACCGCCGGCCCGTCTACAGGAGGCACGACAGGCGCTTGCAGGTTGAACAGGCAAGGGCAGTGGCACGTCGGACGCGACAGACACCGGCAAGGCAACGTTAGGAGATGACGCATCAACACGAGGGGCAACGTAGGGCTTCAATCGGGACGTGTGGACATACCAATGGCGCGACCCGACACGAACGCGTGCAGACTGGGGACTAGGAACCTCAATCAGCACCACTGGGCCTTGCCAGGGTTTGTGCAATTTAGGGGAGGTCCCCACTGGCACCTGTGGGCAGTGGAGCCAGGCCATGTCCCCCACACGCCAAGGGGATGCACGATGAGAGCGCCGGGTGCACCGTTCGTTCCGGGCCTGGGTCTTAGCCGTAGCCAATCGGGCCGCATCTCGCGCTTCCGCCACGCGCCGAATATAATCGGGGAGGGTTTTAACAGGACCCTTCGTACGCGTCTCAAGCTGCACTTCCACAGGCGGCACATTCTCGCGTCTGTACATTAAAAAGAAAGGTGAATACCCCGTCGACGCATGTGGTGCCGTCCGGTAAGTGGAGAGCACTCCCGGGATATGCAAATCCCAATCGGCCTGCTTCTCACTAACCGTATGGCAGAGCATGGCCGACAGGGTCCGGTTCAACCGCTCAACCATCCCATCAGTTTGTGGATGGTAGGGAGAGGTCCGAACTTTCTTAGTTCCCAATGCGTCCCACACATCCCACAGTAGGTTCAAAGAGAAATTTCGCCCTTGGTCTGTGAGCAACCGTTCCGGCGCCCCCTTGTCTATCACGTACCCGAACAGGAATGCCTCCGTGATAGACAACGCCGACTGGTCGGGCAAAGGCCAAGCCATTGGCCATCGCGAAAAATATTCGACCCCGACCAACAAAAATTTGTTCCCCCGAGCGGACTGGGGAAAGGGCCCCAAAATGTCCAATGCCACCAATTCGTTAACCCGCGTCACTTTAATCGATTGCACTGGGGGAAAATACAGCTGTTTGGGGGGTTTGCGCCGGGCACAGTCGGAGCACGCACGAATGTGCCCGACAACGTCAGTCGTCATGACGTGCCAAAAATAATCACGTTGTAACGTCAACAAGGTTTTCTGCACCCCGAGATGTAACAACTTCTCAGCGTGCAGAATCCGAATCAACTCATATCGCAACGACAACGGAACGACAAGGCGCCAGTGACCCTGCAAGTCCTCTCTCCACATCAACAATCCGTCCCAGAGAGCTGCTCCCAGCATCCCATCAGATGACGGATACCCTTTGACTTTGCAGCCTGACTCCGCAAGGCCGCAAGCGAGTCATCGAGCAATTGTTCACGAATCCACACAGAACGCCCCCATACTGGGCCCCGCCCCCAATACCCTGGGCCGTATGATTGGCCCAGAGCCGAGCAGCGAACCCCGCTTACGCTCGCATTACAACTCAATTGCATTGGAGACAATGACACATCACTCACTCATTTATCAGTAAAATAGTCGGCGTCAACTCGTCGTGCGTGCCAAGGATCCACCAATCTTTCATGAGCACAGCATGGGGAGGTGGGAAACCGGCATGTGTGTGTACGTATGTATGTTGAACTTCTTTCTTTTGTTTTACATTTCCACGTGATGATAAGCCACATCGCTGAGCTTTCATTTGTGATAGCCAGGTCACTTCTGAAAAGGAACCATCTAGCTCAGTGGGCCTTACCTGGTAAAATAAAACATAGTTTAATAGTTTTTGACTTCGTGTGTGGCTGCTTGGCCGCATGTGCATGCGTGCGCAGCAGGCGGAGCAGGAGCGCCTGTGGAGCACCGAGCGAATGCTGCGGCACCTGCAACAGGCGGTGGGGCACGACGAGGCGGCACTGGTGCTGCAGCGAGTGGAGGGCGTGGTGGCGCGCACGCTGCTGGCCGCTGAGGCCCGGGCCAGCGACGCGTGGAGGTGAGTGGTAGGCCCCTGGGGGGGGCTTCTGGCAGAAGCCCCATCATCATCGTCGTCGTTGTCGTCACTACGTTCTGCTATTCAGCGATTATTACGCCTGCTCACCCAGAACAGCCTCACTGAGTTTCAAGACTTGTATTGGCTCACGGTGGTAACAATGTCAACTTGCTCTGTTTAAGACACCAGAAGCGGGTAGTTTATCATCACAATTCTGGCAAAATCGCCTGATGCTGCTGGTTGATGTGATGACCGGCGGAACGTCACGGTACTCAAATTGTAAATGTTGTGGATTTACTCTACAACGCACCGGTGGGCTGAAGCAGTAACTAATTGGCAAGTTTTGTTTACGTGACAAACCTTACTAATTGGCTGTGGCGGATGGTGGTGGATTAACGACACATTTGTAGGGGTTATTACGGGGAGAAAAGGCGGACGGAAAACACAAGGGTGTCTGCACCCACGTCCGCATCCGTTAACCACTGGGGGGCCATGGGGGCTCTATGATCCCCCATAACCCCGCCCCTCGGAGGGGATCCCTATAAAAGTTGGGGAGCCAGAGAGCTCGGGGCCAGTTTTAGAAGAAGCTTACCAGTGAAGTCTGAAGACCGGCAGACTAGGCCCTAGGACTCCCCTGTCTCGCTGCCCTTGTCAGGGCCGAGCTGGGCAAGCCAGCGGCGCGGCCCCAAGAGCTTCCGGACCTCTGCTCTTGTAAGAGCAAGGCCGGCTTAGCTTGGTGCCGGGATCCGTGCTTTACCAGGGCCGGATCAGACAGCCTCCCGTAGCACTATTAGATGAGGACTGGGAACAGGACAGGGGAATTAGTGCTAGGGGTGTTTACCCATCTAGTACGGGTGAAGGGGCTGTTACCCCTTCAAGTATTGTAACTATCCTTGAGCTTAATAAAAGAGTGTGCCTCGACTCCGTCGTCAGTCTCCCTGGAACTCACTACATCTGGCATCAGAAGTGGTCCAAAGCATGGATACGAGACGGACGACTCGTGCCCAAGACCCCGGAGAGGATGACAACAAGGGAGAGGCGGTGCAAGATATCACCGCCGACGTACCTGAGCAACCGCTGCCGACTCCACCACCTGCAGGGCAGTCGGAGAGAGCCGGGACGTCGGCTGATGAGTTGGCATTGGCCCACTCGCGACTGGCGGAGCTCCTGTATGCAGCGGCCGCCACGCTTGAGCAGATAACTCGCCTGGGGCCGGGGGGAGCTGCGCAGCGTGAAGACGGACAGCGCCCGCCAGAAACTCCCATCTTTGCAATGGGCCCGAGGCTTGAACTTCCCGCCACGGGTACAGTAGGAGCCGAGGGAGGGGCCTCAGCACGTCACGCGGACGGCGGGGCCCAACCAGCAAGTACCACGTCATCGGCGGGGACGGGTCGCAGTGGCTACCTATCAGCGGTCGCCGGGTCATCAACGGCGGACAACTGCACCGATCAAGCCGGAACCAGGGCGTCACCAACGGCGCGACCTCCATTAGGGTCCGCCATTGCTCCCCATACAGTCCATGGAGACAGTACGCGAGCTGGGCGATCGTCGGAGACGGAGCCGACATTCCAGCAACACCTGCTGGCCCTGCAGGAGTTCGTATCGAGCAGCGGCGACTGGGGTGGGTTTCAGCGCCATTTCCTCGCCCACCAAGAGATGGCTGGGTGGACGGACAACGAGGCGCTGCGTGCTCTTCCGGCAATGCTGGATAGTGACGCCCTTGGCACCCTCACCGCTGCACCCAGGTCGGAACGCTCCACACTTGGGTCGGTGCTGCAAGTGCTGGCCACGGTTTATGGGCCGCCTTTCGATTGTCGCCAGCTTTTCTACGAGCGGCGGAAGGGCGACAAGGAGTCTCCACTCGCGTACCGCATGGCCCTGTTGGCGTTGGCGAAGGCGGCCTTCCCGCGTATGGACGAGGAAGGGGTGGATGCGATGGTGGCCGAAAAAATTTTGATGTTGGCTGACGACTTGAACTTCATCATCCTGGCGCAGGATGATGCGGACATGTCTTCATTGCGGGCTGCAAGGCACGTCCATGCCAACCTGATTTCACAACGGAGGAAGGCCAACAAGGCAGCTGCGGGACACACCGTGGTGGCAACCACCTCCGAATCTGAGGGGGTCTTCGCTGCGGGCCGTTCTGCGGGATGGCGGTCTGGCGGGCGACCGGCTCAAGACGCGCCGAGCCACCGAGAGCAGCCCAAGTCTTCGGGAGCACTCGTCGTGTGCTACAACTGTGGCCTCCGGGGCCATGTGGCTTCGGGATGCCAGGCTCCTCGACAGCTTGCAGCAAGACCTGGAGCTGAGGACGGCCCTCTTCGAAAGCCTCCACAACATCCTCCGGCAAGTCGTGGCACCCCACATGCTCGGCATGCACGCACACCCACTTCCTTTTCACATGCTCCGATACACGATTCTCGGGGGTCAGGTGCTGGTGCGTCGGGTCGTGGCGTGATGGGGAGGGCGCTCCAACCGGGCCAATGGTCCGAGTTGGCTCACCGGGTTGTGGCTGCGTCGGCGGGGTCGTCCGTTGTTACGGGGCACATTGATGGGGTGGAAGTACGGGTATTGATCGACACGGGAGCATCGGCGACTATCATTTCCGATTTGATTTATAATATCCTGCCCGTTCAGAGTCGCCCGTTGCTCCCCGTCGACATACCGTGTTATGCTGCAAACGGGGGCTCGTTAGGTATCATCGGGCAAATTCGAGCGCAAATTTTTTTCGGGGACATTAAATTATCTGGCCTGGTGTTGGTCTCCTCCTCTCTGGCAATTTCGTGCCTGTTGGGGACAGACTTTTTGGCCAAATTGCCTGTCAAAATTTTGATTGACCAGGGATGCATCGAGCTTCCATCGGGCCGACGTATAACGTTCCTGCCTTCCACCCCTGCCTTGCGTACAGCCTGTGCAATGGTACAGGCGCCTGTTGCTCGAACGGTGCGCGTACCCCCGGGGGCACAGATGCTCATGCCCCTGCGGTTGCGTCGACCGTTCGCTAAAGGGGTCTCAGACCAGGGCATTATGCTGGGGCCGTCTAGGGCCGGGGTGAATGGGCCAGATTTGGTGACGGCCCAGACTATTGTTAGAGGGGATGAGGACCCGTTTATCGCGGTCCTCAATGTCGGGACACGGACGGCGGTGGTTTCCCAGGGAACCGTGTTCGCGCATGCGATTCCGGTACCTGCGGAAACGCCGATCATTGGCCAGGTGGCCACCGCTTCTCACCCGCGACTGCAGTCAGACCATGATGAGGGTTGGCTGGAGGCGCTTTGTGCTGAGACACCTGACCTATCCGACTCACAACGTGCTAAATTGCATACCCTTTTGCGAGAATTTTCCAACGTCTTTAGTAAGCACAAATACGATATCGGATGTACAAAATTGCTGCGCCACCATGTTGACACCGGTGACAACGCTCCTATCCGCCAAAATCCTTTTCGGTTAAGTCCCGCCGAAAAGGATCATGTCAAATCGGCTGTAGATGACATGTTGGCTTCTGACATTATTTCTCCCTCGACCAGCCCTTGGGGTGCACCCATAGTATTGGTTAAAAAGCACGATGGGTCCCTAAGGTTCTGCGTTGATTTTCGGCGGTTGAATAAGATCTCAGTTGCCGATGCTTACCCGCTTCCTTGAATGGACGAATCTCTGGATGCCCTAGCTGGATCACGATTCTTCTCCACCTTGGATTTGATGTCAGGGTTTTGGCAACTTCCTTTGGACGACGAATCGAAGCCCAAAACGGCTTTTCGAACGCCGCACGGCCTCTTCCAATTCAATCGGTTGCCTATGGGGCTCCACTCCGCTCCCGCAACGTTCCAGCGCCTGATGGATTGGTTCTCGCTGGCTTGCAATGGGAGGTATGTTTGATTTACCTAGATGACGTGATCTTATTTAGTAAGACATTCGAGGAACATCTTGATAGGCTTCGGGCCGTCTTTCTCAAAATGCACGCAGCTAATTTGAAATTCAAACCACAAAAGTGCCATTTGCTACACGAATCTGTAAGATATTTGGGTCACATCGTCGGACGGTCAGGTATCTCAACCGATCCCGCCAAAACGCGTTGTGTCAGCTCCTGGCCGACTCCCACCTCGGTGGGGGAGGTTAGGAGCTTCATCGGTTTTGCTTCATATTACCGGCGGTTTGTCGTGGAGTTCGCTTCCATCGCTAAGCCGTTACATGCCTTAACGGCAAAGGGGGTGACATTTCATTGGGGCCCGGAAGAGGAGGCCGCCTTTAACTCTCTTCGTGATGCCTTAGTGGGGGCCCCGCCGTTGAGTTACCCCGATTTTTCTCTACCTTTCGTGCTCGACACAGACACGAGCAACACGGGGATTGGGGGCGTGCTTTCCCAGGTTGTGGGTGGCGTGGAGCGTGTTGTGGCTTACGGTAGTAGAGTATTGTCTCCTGGCGAGCAAAGATACTGCGTCACCCGCCGTGAACTGTTGGTTATTGTTTTCTTTATTCAACAGTACTGGCCATATCTGTACGGCCGGCGTTTCACCGTCCGTACAGATCATGCGGCATTTCAGTATGCCCTGCGTATTCACCAGCCATCGGGGCAGTTGTCCTGATGGCTGGAGATCATTCAGGATTTCGATTTCGAAACAACATATCGCAAGGGGATTTGCCACACTAATGCCGATGCCCTGTCGCATCTGCCGGTCGCATCGGATTGCACTTGTTTCTTGGGCTCGGGGCGTTGCAAATCGGCGAGCGACGGCCAGGATTCGGTCCTTGCGGCCGCCGTTGAGGCTCCTTCGGGCGTTGGCCCTATTGATATGGGAGGGAAGGATTCCCTACTGGGCTTGTCAGGTGCGGAGTGGGGGTGCCTCCAAATGGAGGATATGTCCCTCCTGGCGCTACGGCGTCGCGCGGAAGGATCCGGTCAGCGGACGTCGGGCGTTGACTCATGGGGGTTGTGCCAGGGCCTCCTCATGCATTGGGACGGAACGATCCACCGCCACAGGTTGGTGGTGCCTTCCACGTTGAGGGGTAGGGCTGTATGGGCTGCTCATGAGCGGCTCCTGCACCTGGGCACCCACAAAACCCTTGCCATGCTCCAGCTTAATTTCTTTTGGCCGGGCATGGCAAGGGATGTGGACGATCTGTTACAGTCTTGTACCCAGTGTGCTCAACGTAAGCCGCCATCAAGGGGAGCCATGCCACCGCTCCATTCTATTTCAGTCACCCGAGTTAATGAGCTTGTCGCTCTTGATATTTTGGGGCCGTTTCCTTCCACGCCTAGGGGTAATAAGTACCTACTGGTTGGCGTGGAATATTTCACACGATGGCCTATGGCTTGGCCCCTCGCCAACCAGTCGGCAGCAGCCATTGCGGAGGCTTTTGTCCAGGGCTATGTCCTCGACAAGGGCGCTCCGGAATGGTTGTTGACCGATTAGGGAAAGAATTTCACTAGTTCCCTTTTACACGAGGTGTGTGAGCTTCTTGGTACGAAGAAAATTCGTACTTCCCCTTACCACCCACAAACGGATGGGATGGTAGAACGCCTGCATAGGACTCTTACGTCCATGCTGTCCCACCAGGTATCTGAGTCCCAAACCGATTGGGACCTTCAGATCCCGGGAGTTCTGGCAGCTTACAGGATGGCTCCTCACGCGGCGACCGGATTCTCGCCATTTTTTTTAATGTATGGCCGCGAAGTTGACCCGCCTGTCGCGACCCAGCTGAAAATTGCCACACCACACGCTAAGTCCAAGTTCGCAGACCATGTTAAATTTAACATCCTCCGGTTGGCTGAGGCATGGGAGGCGGCTATGCAAAACTCTGACTCTCGCCAGAAGGCGAATGAAAGGTTGCGATCGCGCCGGTCACACACGCACGAATGGCACCCGGGCGACAGAGCGTGGCTACACTGCCCCCAGATGCCATTGGCTACCTCGTCTAAGTTGTTGCGACCATGGAGGGGGCCCCGTGGAAATTGTGCAGGTTATGCGGCCCCAATGTGTTCGCATTAAATGGGGGAAGCGTCGGTGGTTCGTACACTCTTCACGGTTGAAGCCGTTCTTTGCGCCACGTGCTTCCTCTCATGACTATGGCTGAACATGTGGGGGGTCCACTGACTCCTGGAGGGCGGGGTCGCCGCCAGCCTCTGATCCGCTGCTAACTGTTCCGTCTTCAGGGGCCCAAGGACTGACGCCCTCTCGGCCGCCGGCCTCCCCCGAGGGGGTCGGCGCTGGCTCGTCCAAGAAGCCGGAGGGCCGTGCACCTGCATTTTCAACACCTGCCGGTGGCCCTACCGGGTCGGGCCCTTGTGACGGGCCCACTGCACGGACACGCGTCAAGACGTGCCGGTTGTTGTGAGTTGCTTTCCGCGCGTGTTCCGCTGCTGGAGGGCTCGCTCACCTTTTTTTTTATTTTTTTGTTGGGTGGAAGTGGGGAACCACACTCTGTACATATGTTGCATGTTGGGGCGGGGGTATTTATAGGGGGCCGTCGGTTGTTGTTACTCTTGTTATTGTTTTTGTTACGGGGCACACGCATGTTGACTGTGTTAAGTCTTTATTGTTGGTGTTTGAGGGGTTGTTGCAGCCGGGACGGCTGCGGGCTGTACAGGGGGGGGGGGGGGGGGGGTGATGTAGGGGTTATTACGGGGAGAAAAGGCGGACGGAAAACACAAGGGTGTCTGCACCCACACACACGGGTGTCTACACCCACGTCCGCATCCGTTAACCACTGGGGGGCCATGGGGGCTCTGTGATACCCCATAACCCCGCCCCTCGGAGGGGATCCTTATAAAAGGCGGGGAGCCAGAGAGCTCGGGGCCAGTTTTAGAAGAAGCTTACCAGTGAAATCTGAAGACCGGCAGACTAGGCCCTGGGACTCCCCTGTCTCGCTGCCCTTGTCAGGGCCGAGCTGGGCAAGCCAGCGGCACGGCCCCAAGAGCTTCCGGACCTCTGCTCTTGTAAGAGCAAAGCCGGCTTAGCTGGGTGCCGGGATCCGTGCTTTACCAGGGCCGGATCAGACAGCCTCCCGTAGCACTATTAGAGGAGGACTGGGAACAGGACAGGGGAATTAGTGCTAGGAGTGTTTTCCCATCTAATACGGGTGAAGGGGCCGTAACTCCTTCAAGTATTGTAACTGTCCTTGAGTTTAATAAAAGAGTGTGCCTCGACTCCGTCGTCAGTCTCCCTGGAACTCACTACACATTTATATTTACGTGATCTAACCCAAAAAACCTTTATTATGAATATGTTTCAAGACTCTACTTTAAGGAGGATACTGCCCAGTTTTTTGTGGGAATAAGGAAGCGATGTTAATAGGTTTAGGCCGAGTTTGTAAGTATTTTTAGCAATTTGGATGTTTGGCCAATGCCAGTTAATTTACTCGTTTTGTCCCTGTCTATGCGTATTGCTCTGGGAAGGCCATGTAGGTGTTTTAATGGCTCTACAAGCAACTTTGTCTCACACCGCTGCTAACGGATGAAGGACTCGAATGGTGATGGGTGTTTGTCTCAGGGAAACGTGTGTGATCATTCAGTCCAATGTACATTGCTCTCAGGTATGCCCTTGCATCTGACCCCGTGTACGCTGCAGGTGTGCCTCGTGTTTTCAGCTTCTGAAGTTCATTCTCACATTCGACACCTCACTCCACCCGCTTGTCCTGCAGGTATTTTGACCATGACTCGGCACGTGGGCACACTGCCGCATCGCACAACGTGCTCGCTATACGCCTGTGGTTTCTTGGCAATTGTCCCCGCCTGCCTGTCTCACAGCCACCTTGTCACCAGCGTTCATTTCCTTGAGATTGTGGCATTTCTAAGCGCAGTGCTGCTGTGGTATCCCGGTCCCACCTGGTGACACTCCGCCTCTGTTGTTTATACTCCAAAATACTTAGAAACCCTTAACCATCTTCCCTGCTCGTCCTGGTTACCACTGACCGGGCTTCTGATCAAATTATATAATGAGGTGGAATCAGTTTTTAATTGTAAGTTTCTGCAAGAGCCATTCTGCAGAAAGTCTTTAGTGCAACTCCACTTTTGCAAATCCCAACCAATCCCAGGTTAGGGTAGCGATATTCTGCCTTGGTGTTAAGATGCCATGGACTAATCAACCCCCCCCTCCCCCCCAATGAATTGAGTTGATTACAGGCCCCAGTCTGATGAACAGATATACGTGTGTATGTGTGTACGTGTGTATGTGCATTTCCCAACAAGTCCACAAAAAAACATTCAGGCTATTACCATCTTCATCATGCTCTCTCCGAGGCCGCACGAATGCCAAATTACGTCTAGAACTTGCGCGCATTCTCTAATCCTGGTCTCCCTCTCTCTGTCTCCCGGCGCACTCCCAAGCGTTGCTCCTCTGTATATTGGATATCCGTGCTGGCGTCCGTCGCGTCATGCGTTTCGCAGGTGAGCGGCCACCCGAGCCTTCACGTAGCTCGGAGGCCACGCACTGCGAGCGCCTCCCCGCCAGGACCGGACGATGCACCAGGGCATGGGGCCGCTCGCTCACAGGAGGCCCCGGCCTATGAGGCTGTCCTGCGGGACTCTGCCTCGCTGCTGTGCGCCGCCACCACTGGTGTCGGCAAGGCCTTGGCGGGAGACGTGCGCGATATCCTGGAGCGCCACGGGGTGGATGCCGAGCCTCAGGTGAAACGACTGCTCACTTCCGCCGCCTCCCAGCGCCCGAGTGAATCGCTGCGCCCGGGCTAAGCCGGGTAGAGGTGCCGGCGCCTTCCTTGCCCACCCGTCTCGTCGAGTCACCGGGCAGCGCTGCCTCGCTTCGTTCACAACGACTGGGCTACAGGCTCGTGTGTCCCATACTCCCCACCCTCAGCCCTACCCCACCCACCCCACCCATGCTGCAGAGCTGTAGTGGGCTCAATCTCATTGAGGTAGTCAATCCAGCCCCGTTGTCTTTGGGCAGCAATCGCACGAGTAGCAACCTCGTTGGTTGTTTGTGGTGGTTATCCAGCAGAGAGTACGATGCTTTCCATGAGGGTATGGAATTCCGCCACTGGTTCGTAATCTGCCACTCGCGTTGATCACTGCCCAATGTTTGATTGGGGGGAAGGGGGGGGGGGCACTGAATGCAGTGCTCTTGACAAAAAATTGGACCGGTCGACATCCGGCAAACGGGTCCTTTGGCGATAGCAAGGAGATTGTCGTCATCGCAAAGTCGAAATGCCCCCAGTGAAACTTGGTTCATAACGCATCCAGGAGAGCAGGGTCACGAGGCTGCGAATACGACGAATAATTTGTGACACTGCGTGCACAAAGCAAAAAACAGCAACAACTCAACGGAATTGAGTGTTTCCCTAGGATCTCTTCAGTCCCTCGGGTTCTGAATAAGCAGAGCTTCGACAATTGTTGGCACCAGCTCGTCACGTGGCTACCTTCTGGCCCCTAAGTCGGTCTCTCTACGAGCGAATATTCTGCATTGTTACAAGTTGACATTATTTTTAATTATAAATTTGCATGCGCTGCTGTTTGACATTGATCCTCTTACTGTCGTGAATACATCTCACTTGTTGGTGATATTTCCCCACCATGTTGTCGAGAGCAGATGCCAAGCTTACCAACGTCTGTCCATTGGTTTCGTTTTTATTGGCCACTATGACGAACCCCCACGGTGCAGAGCAAGTCTTACAACGTGGAGCAGAGTGCATGCCTCACGGGAGACGACCTCCGCTTCCTCGTGGACACGCACAGCGAGAGCAAACACTCGGGCCGCTTCAAACTGGTGAGAGCACGCACAACACCCACAACAACTGCCATTCGCCACTAAGTGGCGGTTACGTCACCACGACGCTTGTGCCAGGCTATGTGCACCTTAAGGCCACATGAAGTGTCGAATGCCCGCTGGAAGGAGGTCACGGGGCAGACCCAGGTGTCACGGGTCGACTAACTAAGATGCCTGGCTGATGCAACACCTGTGCCCCCTACTGTGACAACTTGTTGTGCTTTAGCCACCCGGCGCTCCGCTCATTGTTGTGAGCGTCGCTCCTCCGCCCTCCGTTGTTGTTGGAGGGCGACTGCCTCCAACTGCCCAGTAGCGTCCTTCACAAGCCTCCTCCACAGAGGCCGATCTTGACACCGCTGGTACCAGTCATCGGCAAGTCCACTCAGCTCCACGTCCTCCGGTACCAAATCACTCCATGTCTTCTCTAGCCCATGCCACGCCCGTTTAGCCCCCTCGATCCGGCCGAACAAAAGCTGTTTAGGCATGTGGTGGCTGGGCATGGACACATACACGCAGACACACATGCACGCAGAACTCATCACACAGTTGTAGCCACGTGCAGACGCGTCGCTTACACATGCAGCACTCATCACGCACCACTCATCACGCACCTGTCACCAGCACCATCTCCCCCTTGGCTGCCGTTCCATCGCCACTCTTGCCCCTCAGCCACTGTGTCCCCAGCAAGCCGTGACATGTTCTACCCAAGCCCCGCTTTTCATGATAGTTTGAAGGATCTTACGAACGCGCATCCTCCAATCCACGGTTTCCTCTCTCCCGATGTCACTTTCAGCACGCTTTAACACTGTGTTCATGGGTGCACGCTTATATGTTCAACCGGCATGCGCCGCTTTGCCGTGATCTTAGTGACCTTGGTTCATTTCCTTGCCGTGCGCACCATGGTCAATTGGTATCTGAGCGTAGCCTGGCATTTCGCCTCCATCCACTGTCTAAAGTGAGCGTCGGTGCATCAGCGTCGGGACGGTGCATCAGCGTCAGTGTTAGTAATAATAATATACATTTCTAAGGCGCATTTCATCCCAGGATCCCAATGCGCCACCGTGTATAGAAAGCAGGGAAATAAGACAGAGCCAGCGGTAAACGACCAAAACTATGGGGGGAAAGGCCATTTTCAAGAGGTGAGTTATAAGGGGCAGATTTACATAGTGCTAAAGATTATAATTGTCTTATTTTCAGAGGCCAATGCTTTCCATCGTCTTGGAGTGGAGCTGCACTGGCAAAAGCTCCAGTAAGTAATGTAGGGCTAACACATATATAGCCTTGTTAGGGGAATAAAAGGTAGCTTTTTGTGGTAAGGGTGTGTGATGCAGACCTTAAAAGGCTCTCTCCGATCGTCTCATCAGCCTAAAGAAAGGACTTCTGCCTTTTTTACTTTTACTATCGTGTCCCCCCAGCTCTTCCCATCGTCTTTGCCGGAGTTGAACGCCTTTCGCTCCGCCCTCCAGCACCGTTCTCGCGAGCCGCCCTTCCCACCATCGTACGCCACTGACCAGCTGCCTACCCAGCTGTGGGAGGACCGGCAAGCGAAGCTCTCCGTCCCGACAGCCCCACCGCTCGGCGATCGCAGGCAACGTGCACCCCCACAACGACCCGCCCAGGGACGGCTCTCGTGTGCAGTGCTGTGGCCAAGCGTGCACATACATCAAGGGTGCCATCGTGGCGCAAAGCTGATGATGCCAACCGCACCTCGCCAATGCTTCCTACTTCCATGGCGAGATGTTAACTACCTCGCCTGGTATATAGGAGGTATTTTTCAATGGGCAGGATCCTGATGAAAAAGAGTCCTGAGACTGAAAGAGGTCTTAATGGATACACACGTGTCATGGTTGTGTAATAATAATGATCATAGAGCACTATGTGCGTTTCACAGACAGCGCATAGAGGTCCACGGTTGTGAGCCGTGCGTTGTGTGTGAAGATAGGGAGGCACACGCGGTGGCGAGATGTTAATTACCTCGCCTGGTATGGAAGAGGTCGTGGGTTCGACACCGACCCTGACGCCTGCTGTATATATGAACTTTATGTATCTCTTTCCCCATGGGTCACATGGATTTTTCTCCGGGTTCTCCGGTTTTTCCCTCCACATTTGGCTGCTATACATTTCCACATGATGATAAGCCACTTCGTTGAGCTATCATTTGTGGTCTGGTCATCTGTGGTAAAATAAAATAAAATTGTTTAGTTTAATAGTTTTACCCTCCCGCCAGACAACGCAGCTGCCGCTCAGTAGACATGTCATCGTCTGGTCTTCCCCTTGATCGCCGGACTCGTGGAGACCATTTCTGTCTCAGCAATCGCACCCTCAGCCAAATGCGCTTATCTCCTCATCACAAATCTAATTCCACATTCCTATGGCGCAGGTGAGCCAATCCACGGAACGGGTGGGTGAGCGAGCGGATGAGTGAGTGGGCGGGTGGGCAGGTGAGCGAGCGGGTGGCAGGGTTGCGATTTCCGCATGGAAAATGCGGAAGGAGGGTTCAAATTTTCCCGCATTTTTGCTAAAGTCAACCGCAAACGGTGGAAAGACTACTCCTATGACCGCGCGCTTTTAACAACACGGTAATGCGTTCTATTGGAAAGGATACATGCAAGGCCCAGCATCACGTAGGGCTTTGAGTTACTGATTGGAATGAATATATGATTTCCGCATTTCCGCACAAGAACCACATACTTTATTCAAAAGCGGAGCCGTGATTACGAGCACATGTACATGATGTATCCTTTCCAATAGAACGCATTAACGTGTTGTTAAAAGCGCGCGGTCATAGGAGTAGTCTTTCCACCGTTTGCGGTTGACTTTAGCAAAAATGCGGGAAAATTTGAACCCTCCTTCCGCATTTTCCATGCGGAAATCGCAACCCTGGCGGGTGGGCTGGTGAGCGAGCGGGTGGGCTGGTGAGTGAGCGGGTGGGCTGGTGAGCGAGCAGGTAGGCGGATGAGCGAGTGGGTGGGTGGGTAAATGAGTGGGTGAGCACAACCACTGTTGACTTCCCTGCAAAATGGTTTTATACTTTTAGTTTTTTCGGTAAAGTCACGTGAGTAAAAAATTGAAATTAAATTTAATAAAAATAAAGTAATAATAAATCACGACGTTTCGGAGGCAACACAAGTCTCCGTCATCAGGTGGGACCATCACAGCCAGATTTGCTGTATCAAGTGAGACAGGGATTCCAAGATGCAAGTTCTTAAATACAAGTTAAGGGGGAGGGGGGGGGGGAGCTTATCAGAATGTGATAGCCAATGAATTGAACGTATTGGGAGGGGGGGGTCTAAAGGAAGTGTGCGTAGACGTCGACGTGGACGTGTTTGTGCGCAAGCCCCTGTTGATGCACATGATTACGTATTGGAAGGGGTGGGGGGCTAAAAGAGAGGACGAGGAGTACGTGTACGTGGACCTTTTTTTGCACAAGCACCTGTTGGTGCACATGATAGAAGAGAACGAAAATGCTCATGTTTTTTACCAGTGTTGGCTGACAATCAAATACGAAAAAGGAGAGTACTGTTAAACGCTGGGGATGTTAACACTCGGTAAAGTAAAATAGTGCCTGTCAGATAAGATGGTCCAAAAATGTGTAGTTAAATCTTTTTTGCATGTGTAGTGTTGTACAGACGGACTCTTCAACGTCTTTTGTAGCACACACTTTTATTCGTCTTATGAACACAGTCCCTATGCACTGAGGGGTATACTGTCCCCTCACCTGTTACACTCAGAACGTACAAGCCTCCGCACCCTACAGGCTACTTAATATCCCGCTCTTTCAATGTCCTCTGACTGGACCTAGGGAGATGTCTCCCCGACCACAGGTTACTCTGAACCCTAGCCCTTATAAGGGCTGGAGGGCTTGGTCCAGGGTCCTAGGCTTCTTCCGCCGTCTTGGGTCTTCGTGTAGTCGAACTCCCCGAGAGCTCTGAGCGCTCTGGCTTTATACTTGTTCGTGGCCGGGTTGTCCAATCCCCGGCCACCTTGTGGAACCCTGTGATTGGTCGTTCCCAATCTGCTTTAAGATCCCAATTCACCCTATCTGACCCTGACCATTAGGTCGCGCGGGAAAACCTTGTTTACGGTCAGCTCTCACAACTTGTGAGACCCTGACCGTTAGTTTGAGCGGGAAAACCTTGTCAACGATTAGCTCTCCCAGTTTGTGAACATCGAGTGGGTAACTCTACTACACATGGTTAATAGCATCTTTCCAATGATTACTAAGTTTGTACCCATCATCACGGTTGAAATTATGTCTGTGTTTGTATATCTGAATGGCTTCGTGTACAAACCTTTGATGGTAGCCAGAGGGTTTGCAGAGCATCTTGGTTTCGGAAAAAACAATATCATGAGAGCCCACCGCGTTGTAGCATTGATTCCGGAGGGACGATGGGCTGATTCAACACTCAACCGTGATTTGAGCTCGTAACCTCTCACTTTAAGAGCCGCTTGCTCCAGCATTGAGCCATCCACACATCTATTGAGACTTCAGACTTATTTTATGTGTTAGGTTCGGCTCGCAACTGAGCAACTGTTAACCTCGTCACTGGTAATGACGTCGCTTGCGCTCGTCCTGTTCCAGGAGCAGTGCGATTCAGATGCAGCGTGGCTCCAGGCAGGCAGATGCCAGTCCAGCAGAGCCAGGAAAACCCGATGCAGCCACCGGCAAGGCAGATGCCAATCCAGCTGGGCCGAGAAATCCCGACGCAGCTACCGGCAAGGCAGCACAACGTGCAACCATCTACACAGCGAGTACGTTATTTACACCGACACATTTCATCATCGCCATCTTGTTAACAAGTGCGCTGCCTCTTGCAAACTTCCCCCTCGATCCGATCCCTCGACTGAACACAACAGGGTTGCCGGGATGTCCGTGTCCACAACTGCGACGAGGCGGCTTGAGCGTGAGCGGGTTAAGGGTCCCCGTCCTGTGGCCAAGTCATTGGCCGATGCTGCGGCTGCGACTTCAGCCATGGACGCTGATGGATCCGGTGCTGGCGTCCCGGTCACCTGTAGTCCTGCAGGATGGACAGTGGCTGCATTTTCACTCGGATGCATAGCGGGCCGCGAATGTGACAACCTCCTCCCACCCGGCCAAGCTGACGATGAAGGAGGTGAAGGTGACGATTCTTGTAGGGGCAGCTCGGCTGCGACGTAACGTTTTAGCCTCGAGGGGTGAACGTACTACCTACGTTTTCCCAACTGAATGCGAACACATTGAGGTCGCAATACTTGCACCACTGTGACCGGGCCCTTCCAGGGCCGGTGCAGTTTCGCTGACGTATATAACGGTACCTGTGGGCAGTGCAGTCAAGCCAGGTCACCCACTGCAAAGGGATCCGAGACCGGCGGCTTAGCCCGCAAGCGCTCGTTCGTAGCTTGTGCAGACGCGGATGCTGCCGAGGCCGCCTCGCGAGCCTCGTGCAATTACTTGAGCGAGTGGCGGAACGCAGCTGGCCAATCTACCAAACGCGACAGAACAGGGCGCAACTGTGCCTCAATCGGAGGGCTCAGCTCGCGTTCATATAGCAAGAAAAAGCGTGAGTATCCCGTTGATGTATGCGGCACTGAGCGATAGGCCGTCAAAACCCCAGGGATGTACAAATCCCAGTCCGTCTACTGGTCATTGACCAAGTGACACAGCATTCCCGAAATGGTGCAGTTAAAGCGTTCTACCATCCCGTCCATTCGTGAGTGGCATAAGGGAATGTCCGTATCTTCTTGACACCCAGCATGTCACACACCTCCTGCAAAAGCTTGGAGGAAAAGTTTCTGCCCTGGTCCATGAGCAGCTGCTCAGGAGCCCCCTTCTCAGCGACATACCCATTTACAAAGGCATCCACTATGGACGCTGTAGTCTGATCGGCCAACGGGCAGGCAAAGGGCCAGCGTGTAAAGTACTCCATCCCCACCAGTAGGTATCTACTTCCTCGAGGAGTGGCGGGGAAGGGGCCCAATATATCGAGGGCCACGAGCTCATTTATCCGGAAAACTTTAATGGACTGCAGGGGAGCGCTGCGCACAACCGGTGGGGGCTTTCTGCGCGCACAGTCAGCACACGCCGATACCCCACTGCCTTAGCACCACGATGCCAAAGCCGGCGGCCCCGCCCAGTCCGTGTCCCCGGCAGAAACCGGTGCCACGATCTAGGGTTGTGCCATGGCCGGCGGTCTACAGTGCGTGGATCCATCACCGCAGGCGCACTTAATGGGGGCTGCCAGTCTGGACAATGCATCGGCGTTCGTAAGCCTGATCCCTCTCCAATGCACCACTCGATATGTGTACTCTTGCAGCCGCTCCAACCATCGGGCCATCTGACCGGTCGCTTGGTTAATGCAGGGTGAGTACTGCAATGCCACGTGATCCGTCCGAACAATGAAGTCGCAGCTGAACAAAGTGGACGACGGCAAGCAGCACAGACCACGTAATGCAATACCGCTGCTCGGCCTGCGACAAGACACAACTTCCGTAGGCAATGACAACCTCTCTACCTTCCTGAATCTGGGAGAGAATGGCCCCGATGCCCACGTCGCTCGCATCTGTATCCAGCAGGAAAGGAATTGAAAAATCGGGATATGCTAGGGGCGGCGCTTCTGTCAAATGCTGGCGCAGTGTCAAGAACGCGTTGGTCTCTGCCTGGCCCCAACGAAACAACTGTCCCTTCGCTGTGAGCGCATGCAAGGGCTTAGCGATGGTAGCAAAGTTCTCGCAAAACGGCGGTAATCGGATACAAACCCCACCAATCTGCGGACTTCAGGCACGGACGTGGGTGTTGGCTAATCACGGACACACGCCATTTTGTGGGGATCTGTCGTTACCTCCGACGCATTAACGACATGACCCAAATATTTTACGGAGGAGCAAACCAGATAGCACTTGGAGGGTTTTAACTTGAGCTTCGCGTCACGAATTTTCGAAAACACCTGTCGCAACCGGGTTAAGTGCTCCTCGAATGTGCGAGTGAATACGATTACATCGTCCAGACTCCCACTGCAATCCCGCAAGTACCAGCTCCATCAATCGCTGGAAAGTGGCGGGAGCCGTCTGTAAACCCATCGGCAACAGTTGAAATGAAAGAGACCTTGAGGTGTTCTGAAAGCCGTTTTCGGTCTGGATTCGTCATCTAGTGGTAGCTGCCAGAATCCCACCAAAAGGTCCAGTGTGGAGAAAAGTTTAGCTCCTGTGAGTGCATCCAATGATTCATCTATGCGCGGGAGTGGGTAGGCGTCCGCTAAGGTAACTTTGTTCAGCCACCTGAAGTCTACGGGAAACCGCAAAGATCCATCCGATTTCTTAACCAATACAACCTGCGCCCCCCATGGACTCGTAGATTGTGATATGATATCAGACTCCATCATCTCCTGCACTGCCCGCTGCACATGCTCCTTCTCGCTAGGATCCATCCTATAGGTATTCTGCAGAATGGATGTCGCATCGCCTGTATCAATGTGGTGTGCTCCATTAGCGTCGTGCGACCAACATCGTAGGGATAAAAAGTCAAGCAACAAAGTCCTGATCTCCCCCAATTCGCTTGCCGACAGATCGGTGTTCTGTTCCAGGAGCGCGTCTATCCATGACATATCCTCTGCGCCGACTGATGGACTGTCCAAATGCACATTGTTGATAGTCTGCGCCTCAGGGTTCGCATGAATAGGACTGACATTTGCAAACAAGGTCCCTTCCTGAACTGTAATGGGTGTGTCAGCCGTGTTAAGGACCTGCAGGAGCAGTGGCTGATTCCTGTGCACGAGCGTGTTAGCTGCTGCTAGGCAATGGCGACCCACCACCGACGGTTCTGCGGAGACAATAAGCAGTGCATCCGACTGGCAAGTGACGAGCAGGGTGCGATATCGAAGCGGCACCAAGGCCTGCGCACCAAACAGGATCGAGACAGTAGTACCGACCAGTGCCTGAGCTCGCGAAAGTTGCTTTGGTTCTCCGTCTGGATGCAAGAAATACAAGCGACCCCGCGACGGGCTTTCGACACAGCCTTCGTCTGTCAGAATGCGAAGGGGCATGTGACTCAACAGGTCCGTACCCAGCAAGCAGGGAACCGTGAGCACACTGGAGACCAGTACCGGAGCACGTACCTTCAGCTCTCCGATACGGACCTGCACTACCACTTGGCCTATTATCCCCATACTTCCCCCATTTGCGGCTATATACCTGGTCGCGAGACGACACTGTGACTCTGGTAACAAGTCAAAGAGGTGCTGGCCGACGCACCCATGTCAACCAACACGTGGACCCTAATCCCTGCCACTGAGCCACCACCCTTCTGGCCAACCGACGCCACTTATTAACCGTGTCCGGCCACGGGCCCGGAGCGAAAGCGGGAATCCTAGTGTTGCACACTCGAAATGAAGGACGTGGGCAGGTGCTCCAAATCGAGGGCAAGCACATTTATTTATTGTGGTTAATATTAATCTTGGGATGAACAGCACCGTCACTCTGTAAAATGCAACAACACGTGTGTTACAGCCAGCCTTGCTCCCGAGCCGCCATTAACCATGTGACTGGTATATCCGCGTGGTCATTCAATAACCCTGCCAGCCACCTACAGGCCCGACTCAGTCATCACATGCTGCTGTACACACATGCATTGATGCACTGCACAGCACATCAGGACTTTCACAGCACCACACTTTACTCCCTTGCTGCACAATGACATACTTAAAAGAGTGATCCATTCCTAATGTGCCACCCTAGCCGCCGCCCCCGAGGAATGAGATGCATGGTGGTCTGAACCTGGGGTGGATTGTTTCGGCCAGGTGTCCAAGGTGTCAGCACTCGCCTGAGTCGGAATGGGCGCAGACCGAGGCTGACTATCCCGGCTGGTCGTCCCCGGTGCACTCATCCTGCTGTGGCATCCGTGGGCGATGTGTCCCTCACGACCGCAGCCATGGCAGATGACTTCTTCGGTGACCCGAGGATGCTCTCCTGCTTCGCGAGGTGCCCAGCGCCGGGGTAGGCACTCCGCTTCCCACGGGATCCTCGGGTACTGCCGCAGGGCTGCCATCGTCTCTCCCTCGTCCTCCTCTGCCGGCGGCGCGTGTCTGGTTGGAGGCCATGGCAACCCCTCGACGTTACCGCGATCCCATGCGACGTGTGCCATACTTTGCGTGGGTCCCGCCATCTCTTCGTAAGCGCAGAGATATTGTGCAACCCATAGCGAGGTGCGGGCTTCCTCCTCCACCACTCCCGCCGTCTGTGGCATTGCAAGGAGCCGCTCTGCCACCAGCAAGTCCAGGGCCATCTCGTTGAGCCGCGGAAATGCAGCTTCTGCCAGCGTCAATAATTCCATCCTGAAGACCAGGAGCGATTCGGATGCTTCCCGCTGGCTGTTTTTAAACTTCTGGCGCGCCCCGGACGAACACCTCCGCCATCTCCTTGTAGACGCCCTGCAGGGATCCTCTTTTTGCAGGCGAAATCCGGTCGAACACTGCCAGTGCGGGGTCATCCAGCACAGTGGGCAGCATTGTCAGGGCTTGTTCCACTGTCCACTTCATTGCCCGGGCGACCATCTCGAACCGGCGGACGAAAACACGCCATTCTTCCGATTTTGACGTGAACCTCTGTATCATGCCCAGCTGGCGGCTCCATCCTGGTCCTCCCTCCGCGGTCTGCCTCGGCTGAGTTTCGGGCTGAATCTCGCTCCCGACCTGTGTCCGTGCCCCTTGCCCAGTCAGCTGCGCTCATTTCCCCCCAGTTGCCGCTGCTGCCGGAGGATATCGGGAGGATAGACCAGAGTTTTCTCCCAGGTCCCACACGGGACACACAGTCGGCGGCATCGCTGATGCTGCTCCATCCCCTGATAGATGCTGCGGAGTGCCTGGTCGGGTAGGCTGACCGTGGCTCCCATCTCCTTGCTGGAGAGGTGGTGTGGCTGAAGTTCCCCCCGCTCGTTAGACCTCAAGACCCAGCCGGCGAAGCAGCACGATGACTGCCTCCAGCAGCTGATCCATCCTCCAATCCCTAGAGGATTATCTGCAGCGGCGGTGGCGGCGCTGGGTCTGCACCGCCGGGTTGGTGGAGGAAGGTGCCCACACGGGACAAGCAGCTGCCACGGATTCCGTCGATGAGCTGGGGGACGAATCCCGACTTGTCGGTTCTGTTTCTGAGCAAATCTTGTCACGGGCACCTAGAGCGTCTTCTGGCTGAGTCTCCCCCCTTGGGATCTTGCATCGGCTGAGGCGAGACATCCCACTGCTGCCACCAGATGAAAACTTAGCATTCAACTTTATCGTGTTTCAAAACGGGTTCTTTTCTCTCCTGCCATACAAAATAAATAAGTGAAGTTTATACATATGAAGAGGAGTCGGAGACTGTTTTACGCACTGGTTTATTCTTCAACCCACAGCCACACTCGCTCCTAAAACCAACCCCGAACATGCGTCTCGCAGCCCCTTTAAACCATCTATTCCCGTCCTCGTTCCCAATCTACATCCTCCTGGTCTCGTTTGCTGGGTCCGTGTGACGTCAGTGCTCTTTAACCCTTGACTCGCGTCTAGTGTATTCCCGTGAGTGTGATTGGTGCGTGCTATGCTGAGTGCGGAGATTTATGTCTACGTGGTGCGAGTGTGTGAGGATGGCTCGCAGATCCCTTACACATAAATGAATTGATTTGCTGTATGAAGGCCTTGTTAGCATCCAATTTCATCATCCTGCCAACTACGCACATTTTTGCATCTCTGATTAGCAACGGTTGGCTATGTACGGTGCGAAAGAAGTTCAACATACGTTAGGCCGACTCCATCGCCTCCAGGCCTATGTCACCAATGCAGGTCACACAATGGTATTAAATATTATTTAACGTTGCTAACATTACAGTTCCGCTCAAGTATATTTAACATATTTGCATTTTTTTGGTCAACTTTGTTTCAAACAACAGTAACCGATGCTGTGCTTGTATTGTTTTACAGATGAACAGCTGAGAAGCAACTGCAGTAATGGTAGGTGTTTGTTGTGAAGTTATCGATGGAAAAACGTCCAAATATTTAAACCGCAATCGTAAATGTAAGGAGCTGTGGACCAACAATGTTTCTGCCGATGTGTTACTTTTAGACAAACGCTTTCGGTATGATGCGGTGATGATCTTCAGTGTAACTGTGCTGTCCCCTAAGGTGCATTGAATATCAGTAAAAATCTTGCAATGGCATTCCTGCCACAAAAACGGTGGTCATTGCTGATATATAACGCAGTCAGAATTACGGAATGCAATTCTTGACCCCAGCAGTCTGTGGGAACAGCAGCACGTCTGGCCGCATACGGAAACGCCGACGGCGTGCGGTCGAGGACAAAGCGGCCACTGCAAGAGTGCAAGTCCGACGAGTGATTGCTGCGCACATGACGTTGACAATAGCTGTGTGCACACACAAAAGCAAACCTTCATTTCCACGTTACAAACGGCATCCCCGAAACTGCGGAGGCTCGCCCGCCCGACAGCCCAGCTCGACGTTGAACCCCCGGCCCAGCCTGTGAACACGACACGGGGGGCATCACGGGGAAGTGGGCGCAACTACGAACGTGGGTGACGCATTCCCTACGCGTTTTGTCGTTCACTCCTTGCAAAGGCCGAACGCAACTGTTAATCTCTGCCGTACCATCGCCCAGTGTTCAACGTGTCAGAGTTATGCTGCGTCCCCTCGATGCACGCTCGCACAAAGCGTGCGTAGTAAATTGCATCATGAACCAATTGAAACTGATGGTGTGGTCTGAGAGCTCTCGCAAACCGAGACGTTGATTAAAAAAACCGACGTAGAAATCAGAATCAGAATCTTTATTTAGACTGGAGGAAGCCAATGAGCTATGAAACTATTCCGGTTTCCACCATGTAGTCTTATTGGCATTTCTAAATGTTAGCCCGATGACCATTCCGGTTTTCCTCAACGTTAGTCAACGGGCATTCGTTTCTCTTGTCATTTGTTTTAGTTTTAGTCCCTCCATTTTGATAGTGAACGAAGTTTTATCCTTTAATTTGCTCTTGAAACCATTTCGACGGAAACATCGGTTTTCACAGCCATCTCCAACAAAGCTGCGCCGTGTTCACCGCACTTTGCGATCGCTATCGCTGGTATCGCCCTGGCTTGGCCACTAAACCACTGCTTACACCTTCAATGTTGAACACGGCTTCATGAGTCGTTTATCTTGGTCAAATAATGTATTAGAATCGTGCAAAATAATTAGAAAAATGTCTCTCACGTTCAAATGTTTACTTCCTGTCCATCCTCTCTTTACCGGTGTTCTGGTTCCTTAAACTCCAACCATCTACCCCCCTTTTTGACTCTGGGTTCACCTCACGGGCCTGGAGCCTCTGCGCCACGCACACGTGGCCACGCAAATATTGCAGAGTAATTGCGCAGAGGGTCCACTGCGGGACTTGCACCCAGTTTGGTCTGTTTCAGAGACAGCCGAACAACCCACGGCACCACGTCGCCTTGGTAAATGTTCCCGAATTGTGCCTCTCCCACAGATATATCCCAATTGTTTAGCGAACTTTGTAGGGCAGAACCAGTTCAGACTCGTCACCACGGGGTGCTGCGGTGGCGAGATGTTAACTACCTCGCCTGGTATGCAGGAGGTCGTAGGCTCGATCTCGATCTTGACGCCTGTATTAGTTGGAGTTTGCATGTTCTTCCTATGTTCGCGTGGATTTTTCTCCGGGTCCTCCAGTTTTTTCCTCCACATTAAGATACATGCGTTTAGAGTATTTGACTGTTTTACATTTTTACATGATAAGTCACGTCGTTGAGCTATAATTTGTGGCTAGGTCGCATCTGAGAAAGAGCTACATTGCTCAGTGGGCCTTACCTGGTAAAATAAAACCAACGTAGATTCAGATATCGCTGCCCCCCTCCCAACCCTTACCGCCCCTGCCTTTCTTCCCCCACTACCCCTCTAAATACTGAAACCATCGCATGGCAAAAACGGCTACACTGGATGGGGTTGTGCATCAGGACAGGGAGGGCCCAATGCCTAGACAGACATTGTAACCGGTCTCCACGGGTCCCGGCTACCAAGGGGAAGACCTAAGGCCAGTCGGTAGGAGACTGTCAGGGCACAGCTTGGGAGGTCGCATTTGTTACCTCTACAGGGGCTGCGGGATATGGCGGAGGGGCAAGGTGCGGTGGCATGAACAGCTTTGGCCACGACGACATCTCGATCTTGGATAACTTTAATTCGTCTTTCACAAGCGTCTGCAAAGGCCGTGTGTCCAGCTCTGCTAATCCCTCCACAGAATGATTCACTGACGTAACCGCGGCGATTGCGGCGCTGCCGCCACAGCGAAGGTCTCAACGCTGCGGCATTGTTGTGCTTCTCTCCTTCCTAGATGCGCACTCGTGCATGCCTGTCACTCCACTGGAACCTCAAGCTGCTTTTTCTGCCTCCTGCTTTCGGGACGCTCACACTGCTGTGCCGTTCAGGGCCGTCTGCTCGCTCTTGAGAGGGTTGGTGCGTGCCAGTTGTGGTGGCCCTCTCACTGCCGTGTGCCCTTGCCCACGGGCAGCATGAACTCACAGGGAACATCGAGAGCATTTTAACAAAACGTACACGCGCACATGCGCATGCCGTGATGGTCTAACCGGCTAGGTGGCTTGCAGGTAGAGCGAGAGCGGCTGGTGATCAGAAGGTTGTGAGTTCAATTCCTGGTTGGGGGTTGACCCGGCCCAGCATCCCTCTGAGGGGTCGACAAAATGAGTGGCGTTTTGTGGGGAAGTCAAAAGTTGTGGTCATGTGGAAATGTGGAATCACATAGGAATGTGCAATTTCCACCACTCGTTCAGGACTACAGACAAAAGACGAGCACCGATGCTTCATTGCTCATTTTGGCAGGAAATCACCGACCTTTTTTCAGCATCTTGATCCTTTTTCAACATCTCGATCTTGGATAACTTTAATTCGTCTTTCACAAGCGTCTGCAAAGGCCGTGTGTCCAGCTCTGCTAATCCTTCCGCAGCAGTACCCCGTGTTGCTGTGTTCGGGTCACCACTGGAAGACAAAGGCATACCTCGCACGGTGCTGGCCACAGTGCCCTGTCTACCTAGTCCACTTGTGCCTACTCTCTTAAACATTAATTGCTCACAAACCCTTGGCACGTTCATTTGGTGATTCGCGCATGCTTGAGTTCGCCTGCTTGTACGCAGTGCGTGTACGGATCCGCGAGTGTGTGATGCCGTATGTCGACGTGCGCGGTCACCAGCGAGTGGTCCCAAGCGCGTGCGTGTGTGCGTGTGGTCACGAGCTCGTGATCATCAGCACGCGCGCGCGTGTGCATGTGGCGCCATCAGACGCAGAGGCGCGGGGCGTGCTCGGCTCGCTGGCGCTGGAGCCGCCCCTTGAGCTGTGGCCGCTGTTCGAGCCGCGCGTGCACCGCTACGAGGCCAGGGCGGCGTTCCCCGTGCTGCTCCTGCGCCTGGTCGCAAGCGCCCGGCACTGCGAGGAGCACGTGCGCATCGGGGAGAGCACAGGGCGCAGAGGGTGAGCAGGGGGTGAGTGTGTGCGTTTGTGTCAGAGGCAGTATAGGGAGCGCACTATGAACCCCAGCGAGCCGAGTTCAATTCCCGCTCACGACCAACACTAGTGACGATTATCTGAACCGATCATGGGCCTCCCCTAGGTTGACTCAGCCTCAAATGAGTACCTGGTGTGTAAACATCGTCACTGGGGAGACAAAGGCGGTTGGTCGGGCGTGGTGTTGGCCACCCTTCCCTTCGTGTGCCATGCTGACCTTCATAGGTGGTCGCTAACAGCACTTGCCCCAACAGTCTATTCAAGCTGTACAGGGGGTCTTTGTCAGAGGCAGTGGGTGCTCTGAAATGCCAGTCCGTTTGTACCGTCAATTCGCCAGTCGTTACCAGAGTAATCTTGCGATACCTAGAGAAGTGGCAGCCTATGACAGAGCAGAGCACCGTAAATCTGGATATTAATTAGCGCGCCATGCTATGATGGCAGTTCAAATTACGTTTTCTGAGAACGGGTTACATTCAAAATGTTTTTTTTTACTCAGCGATCGCTGAGTGACCAGGTGGAGACCTTCGTTGTCGTCGCGCGCGGTTCGAGGCCCCGGCCGTGCCCTTTGCCTTGCAGCGCTGCGCACTGGCCACTCGGCGTGGGGCTGACGCAGGTCAACGTGTTCGTGATGGCAATGGGCGGCGTCGCGAGGGTCTACACCCTCCGCGTTTTCCGTGACCCGCGGCCCAGCTCCAGCCTCACTCGGCCCTGGAACGGCACGGTCTGCGGCCTGCAGCAGGTGCCCGAGCTCAGCGCGACGCCATCAATTTTGCCATCGCGACGCAAAGGGGCCGTCCATAAATGACGACACGCACCTAGGGGGGGGGGTCTGAGATTTGTGACGATGTGTGACGAGGGGGGGGGGTTTGAGAAATGTGACGTCACATCAAAATCCGCAACTTTAAATAAATATAGACAACACGTTCTACTTAATTAAATAGACTTTTTAATAAATGTTTTCTCCTACAAAATCAGAGTGCAAAGCCACATTAAATACGCACTACAATGACAATAGTTTAAAGCGATTTGAAGCATGTTTTCTTTTGGGGGGGGGCAGCCATTTGTGACGTCATAATTGAGGGGGGTCTGACTTTTTGTGACACCGTGTGACGAGGGGGGGGGGTGGTCAAAAATCGTCCAAAATCGCGTGACGCCATTTATGGACGGCCCCAAAGAGTACGGGAAACGATGCCAACGTTAAAATGGCACACAGGCTTCCTGTACAATGGGTGGCAGCGCAGTTGTAACACGTGTGCCTCATAGGAAGAAATAAACTAAGCTATTTTATTTGAATTAAGGCCCAATGCGCTATGAAGCACTTTTCAGAAGCCACTTGGCCACAAATGATATCTCTACATAGTAGATTATCACGTGGAAATTCATAGCAGCCAAATACTCTAATCACATGTTGATTCTAAATGTGAAGGGAAAAACCGGAGGACCCTGAGAAAAATCCACACGACCATGGGGAGAGAGACACCGCAAACTCCAAATATACAGCAGGCGCCAGGGTCGAGATCGAACCCATGTTCTCCTGCATACCAGGTGAGGGAGTTAACATCTCGCCACCGCGGCGCCCCAATTGTAAGGGTTCAATTCCCGACTTAGTCGTTTTTTACGTGGAGTTTATACGTTCTCCCCCTGTTTTACAAGCGGTTCCTCTTCGGGTTCTCCAGTTTGTAACTGGTATTGGCCAAACAAATCTCAATGCTGAAAGATCACCTGCAAATTAATTAATTGTGGTCACACAAGCAGCAACATCGCCCACTACTGCAAAAACCTGGGAGGAATCTTCAGCAAAAGAGTCACGAGACTCGTTCAGGCTTCCCTGGGTAAACAAGATGAATGCCACTAATAATAATAATGCTGCCAGCCACCGTATTGCTTGGGTTGCTCTATTCCACGTGGGGTACAACACTGGGCGAGTAAATTTGCACGCGGCTCTGCAACGTGCACACAACATCATCGTTCAATCAAACAGCCTTTGACGATTGCGCGATGCGCGCCCTCCCATTCGTTCGATAGGGCCGTGTGGTCATGGTCGACAGCATGGTCCTGACGTGGTGTGATTTTTCGTTATTTTGATGGCGTGGAGGTGTTTGGTTATAGGAACTCGATTAATCTTGCCTTTGTCAACGTAGGCAGAGGAACATACTCACCGCAGTAATTTTTTAATCACGTTCCTATTATTCCCCTTGAAAGCCTGCATATTTATTTTAATACTGTATATGTATTGGTAGGGGAGCATGTGCCTTTCCTTACCCGGGTCCCTTACCAGGCTTTCTGGACTGATTGGGCCTCCCTGCCCATACTCTATTAAGCATAGACATGGACCATGGTTGCACTGCATGGAAAAAGCAACTAAGGAGCAGCGTTTATCCTAGGAGTTTAACAATGATAATAATTTAGTACATTTCGGTATTCGCGCCATTGTTATAAGCGCAAGGCGATCGTGGCAAAGGAAGCTCGCTGCTGTGTCACCACGGACATGGAGGGGGCAATGTTGCCACGCGTGATCCCAAATTCAGCAATTTGCGTTGTGACTTTTTAGACTTTGACAATTTATACCGTGAACGGGAACACACAACGGCCTCCTCGTTTCGCATGAGATCACGGGATCTACGTCGTCCGCTGTCGAGCCAACGGGGCACTTTCATATTTAATACACCCGCGGTATTAATCAGGACAGCCCTTCCGTAATTCGAACCGTGAAACCGCTGGAATGAACAGCGGCCGCACAACAGCCGGGCCGTGTCACTGCCCCTAATTTGTTCACCATGTTGAGAATGCGACAGAAAAAAAACAAAAGCCACCGTTTCTCTCAAACCTGACCGTTATGTACAAAGACCCAGCACTCGGCGCAGCTCCGTGATGCGACAGCGTGAATAGCAGTACCCCTTTGGCACGGCTCAAGGCGGTGTTCCTGAGAAACACGAGCCTGATAAAGAAGCTTCACATTGGAGTGACACAATCCACAACGCGCAAAGTGTCCGCGTAGCTACAAGGTAAATGCTGTTTGCTGTTGGGTCGCGTCCTCACCTCTGCGTTACTTTGGGGGATGTGGGGGGGGGGGCTCGTTTAACCACGCTCAACTATTGGGGGTGCTCACACTGCACTAGTGCCACCTTGGCCCTGTTGCTACCTGCTGCTGATCTCCGAAGACCACGCAGTTGAAGAATCGCCGCTCTTCGCCGATTGTGGGGTGGCTGCGTAGCGGCTAGCACGCTGCGCAGGAGGGATCTTTGTTTTGTCTTTGTGTGTGTGTGCGCTAGTGCCTCCGTGATGTGTGTGTGGGGGGAGCGGTCGTGCAATGGTTAGCGTTCTGAGCTACCAACCCACCGACCTGAGTTCGATTCCCGCTCACGACCAACACCAGTGACGATTATCTGAATGGGTTTTGGGTCTCCCCGAGGTTGACTCAAATTAGTACCTGATGCTATGTGTAAACATCGCCGCGAGGGAGACAAAGGCAGCCGGGTGTGATGGCCACCCACCCCCCTCGCTATCAACACTTCCACCCAAGTCTGGTAAAGACTATACAGGGGATCTTTGTCTTTTGGTGCCATTGCAGGACTGTGCATTTGCGCTGTGGGACAGGCAGCCATGTGGCTTGAGGCCACTTCCCCGGGGTTCCGCGCAACTCGATGAGCAGAGCCCCCCCTGCCAGGGACACGAACAAGGTACAGCTACTGTCTCGTTTTACAAGGTACAGCTACCATTTCGTTTTACAAGGTACTACGAATACCCTCTCGTTTTGTACAGGAGGGGGGGGGGTTCTTGCGCGTAACTCGAAATCGCCTAAATTTAAAGTAATTTTCCCATAATAGGTAAATGAAATGGTTGGTGGTTAGAGGTGTGCATGTTTTCTAACCTCATTCTTACATCTACATATTTTACTGGTTATGTTATGTATGGTATTTACAATACTACCATACGTGAATTAAAGATAGTAACGGCCTATTTAAAGGAAGTAAAATATATATAAAGTACAACTAAAAGTTTTTTTAACACGTTTACCAGACATATTGGTAGGCAAACGTGTGCACAAGACAACGTTCATGCGGACAAGATCTTCAAAATGGGACGCGAGAAGGAGATGCTGACTGATGCTGCTGCCCGCGCTTGTGGTCGTTATACTGCTGCTGCACCTCAAGCAGCACCGCTACTGAACTTTGCCGCTCGAGCTCCAAATTTAAGACTGCTACTGAACTTTGCCGCTCGACTAACGATCATCTCGCACCGCGTTCCCTACATAACGGCAAATGCGTCGGAGCGTGTTACTTTAACAACAGTGCGCGCATAACAAAACGAAGTGTCAATTCATTTCCCCGGCGGGCGCGTGCAGGCTCGTGGGTGTTGCCGTGCCTGAGTTGTGCCGACAGCAGCTCGTGTGACTGGAGCCAGGCGGCCTGGGAGGTCTCCGGCTGCCGCCACCCTCGGTTTAGTCAGCAACAGCTGCAGCAGTGCATGCTGGGAGTGAAGGTAAGCGTATCGTGATGTCTTTCTGGCACACAGCGAGCGTCGCTTCTCACAAAGCCCCCCCCCCCCCGCACCTTCCGATTAGAACGGTTGGCTTCGTTCAGTGCGAAAGAAGTTCAACGTACGTATAAGGCGTGCTCATTAAATAAGCAGCACCGCAAGCAGAATGGGCCGGGTGGGCCGTCGCCGCGGAGCCACCGTGAGCGAGAAGCCTGGCCACGGCACCATCCGGCGAGATGTGTGGAGAGAAATTGGCGGCGTCACTCTCCTACCGTGATACGTGGGTGGATTCTCGCTGGAGCGTTTTACATTCGCCACAATGACGTATTACAGCATCGCCTTCGAACTCGCGGACAACGGCACGAGGCCATCTGCGATCTATATTGGTGCTGTTATGTTATCTTCCTCGTGATATGTAGGAGATAGGGGGTTCAATCCCGACCCTGACACCTGCTGTATATTTGGAGTTTGCGTTGTCTCTCTCCTCGCGGTTGTATGGATTTTTTCTCCGGGTCCCCGGTTTTTCCCTCCACATTTAGAAACATGCATTGAGATTATTTAGATTATTTTGCTGATATAAATGTCCAAATCATAAGCCACTTTGTTGAGCTATTATTTGTGGCCAGGTCACTTCTGAAAAATAAGTTAATACCTCAGTGGGCTTTGTTTGGTAGGATGGGGATGGTTTAGTTGTATTTGTATGTGTTTGGGTGATTTGTTTACCTTTCTTGTACTTTGCACTACTATCATGTATTTGTATTGTTTGTTATAGTTGTAACGTTCTTACCCGCCCCTATTGGACATCTTTGAAAAAAGAGCTTCATAGCTCATCGGATTCATCCATTATAAATAAATATTCTGATTCCGATTTTGGCTTAACTAGCCGAGGAATTTGGAGTTTGTGCGACTGATTGTGAAGCAGACTGCCCAGATAATGTGAGTGACGTGCACACTTTTATGCACAGCGTTAACTGGGCATTGTTCACTGCATTGCGTGCAGCATTAACTTCTGGTATTATGAGTACATAATAATATGTGACATACTGAATTAACTTAGTACATGCAACTGAACTGGTTCAAATATTTATTTCAGATGGTTAAATGGAACTGAACAGTTAAAGCCCTTTTTGAACTGACTGAACTGCAACTGCCCGAACCGAACCGGATAATCAATCGGTTTGACTCCTAGAGCACAAAGCGGGATTCGTCAAACTCTAGGTCGGGGATTGTTGCGTTTTTCCCACTCTCTCACCCGGCAGCTGCTGGTGGTGGGAGACTCGACGGCGCGTGGGATGATGTTCTACCTGATGGAACGCCTCAACGGCACGCTGGCCCATTGGGAGCAGATTCACGGCTCCAAGCACTACCGCTTCCTGAACCGTGGACTCACGCACGCCGCCTTCGCCTACTTCCCGCAGTTCTGGGTGGTGCCGCAGCACCAGCGGACCTTCGAGGAGACGGTGATGCTGCTCATCGCCAGGTCCGCAGCGGTCCCGCAGCGCAGAGCCTTCTTGTCCTCCACCGTCTGTTATAGAGTTGGCCATGCGGTGGCGAGATGTTGACTACCTCGCCTGGTATGCACGAGGTCATGGGTTCGATCCCGACCCTGACACCTACTGTATATTTGGAGTTTGCATGTTCTCCCCCTGGTCGTCTGGATTTTTCTCCAGGTCCGCCGGATTTTCCCTCCACATTTAGAATCAACATCCATTTAGTGTATTTGGCTGCTAGAATTTTTTTTATTATGCCCCGGCTTAATGATGGGTGGCTGCTTCTGCGGATCTCGGCCGTGCCAGCTCAGCTACCAACGGTATCGTCGGTGCAACATTTTTACTCTTTGAGAGTCATGAATCTGTGCAGTCATTGGTGATTGTGCTCAGGGCTTTGCGTCTCACCTGCTCAGCCTTTCAACTGGCCAGACGGGTCACAGCGGTACAGCGAGCCGCTTACATTCGGAAAAGGTTTGCGAGTTCAGTTCCTGGTTTGGGGGATTGACGCAGCCTCTCAATCCCTCCAGTGTCAATAAAATTAGTACCGCTTTGTGCGAAGATCAACAGCGGTTGCCCTATGTATATACTTGCCCCCTGCCAGAGGAATGTGGAATTTCCATTACTGGCTCAGCTCTGTTAAGAGGAGATGAGCACCGTTGCAATGTTCGTTCCAGCAGGAATTGTAAACCTCTGACCATTGTGAGGGTTTCCACTGTAATAATCTGTCAAGAGCAGCGGGGTTCGCTGTGGGGGGTAACTGGTGTGACATTAGCGGTGCGGGGTAACTGGTGTGACATAAGCATAGTGGGGTAACTGGTGCGGGGTAACTGGTGCGACGTAAGCGGAGCGGGATAACTGGTGTGACGTGAACGGAGCGGGGTAACTGGTGCGACGTGAGCGGAGCGGGGTAACTGGTGCGACGTAAGCGGAGCGGGGTAACTAGTGCGACGTGAGCGGAGCGGGGTAACTCGTGCGATGTAAGCGTAGTGGGGTAACAGGTGTGACGTAAGTGGAGCGGGTAACAGGTGCGACGTGAGCGGAACGAGGTAACTAGTGCAGGATAACTGGTGCGACGTGAGTGGAGCGGGGTAACTGGTGCGACGTGAGTGGAGCGGGGTAACTGGTGCGACGTGAGCGGAGCGGGGTAACTGGTGCGGGGTAACTGGTGCGACGTGAGTGGAGCGGGGTAACTGGTGCGACGTGAGTGGAGCGGGGTAACTGGTGCGACGTGAGTGGAGCGGGGTAACTGGTGCGACGTGAGTGGAGCGGGGTAACTGGTGCGGGGTAACTGGTGTGACGTAAGTGGAGCGGGTAACTGGTGTGACGTAAGCGGAATGGGGTAACTGTTGCGACGTAAGCGGAGCGGGGTAACTGGTGCGACGTAAGCGGAGCGGGGTAACTGGTGCGACGTAAGCGGAGCGGGGTAACTGGTGCGACGTAAGCGGAGCGGGGTAACTGGTGTGACGTAAGCGGAGCGGGGTAACTGGTGCGGCGGGAGTGGAACGGGGTAACTGGTGCGGCGTAAGCAGAACGGGGTAACTCGTGCGGCGTAAGCGGAGCGGGGTACCTGGTGCGACGTGAACGGAGTGGGGTAACTGGTGTGACGTGAGTGGAGCGTGGTAACTGGTGTGATGTGAGTGGAGCGGGGTAACTGGTATGACGTGAGTGGAGCGGGGTAATTGGTGCGGCGTAAGTGGAGCTGGGTAACTGGTGCGACGTAAGCGGAGTGGGGTAACTGGCGCGACGTAAGATCCTTCCTCATATTGTCTCTGTGGCCCCAAGCAGCGGCATCTGCCACTGCGACGTTCGTCGGTCCATGCACGCTAACGCGAGTTGCAGCACAACCCATGCTGCGCACAAACGTGCACCCTCGGCACCGCGTGTCCCCATCACTCATCGTCGTACGCAGAGCAGCAGCAACAGCCAGCTGCTGCACGGCCTCTCGGTTCGTTCAGGAGGAGCCTCACGGTGTGAGGCTGTTGTGTGTGTGTGCGTGCGGTGTGCATGTGTGGTGTGTGTTCGTGCGGTGTGCACGTGCGATGTGTGTGTGTGTGTGGTGTGCACGTGCGTTGTGTGTGCCGTCTGTGCGTGCGGTGTGCAGCTCGCGACCCCTTATCGACGGGTGGCGCACCGTGCTGCTGCTGGGCGGCGTGCACTGGCTGTGGCCCCACCACCTGCGCTCACTGGACCTCTTGCTGCGGCGGTATCTACCGAAATTCGTTGCCATGAGCTACATCTTTGATTTTTCGGCAATGTATATATATTTTAAAATAAATGTACATACCCCCAGTTATGAGCGGAATATTGATGCGCGCTGCTTGCCCGATGTTCGTTGCCGAATTCCTGTGGCCGCAGGGAGGGCTTGTCCAGGGCACGAGTGCTGGTGAAGACGCTGAGCATGGGCTTTGGCCTGCCAGTGGAGAGCACGCGCTCCCTGTCTCTGGTGAGTGCGTCCGGCACAAGGGGCACTGGCCACGCGCGAGGCCCCAGCTATCCCTAGGCCCACACACAACTCTCAAGGTGACGGCGACCCCAAGATGGCAGCCAGAAAGAGAAAAGACCGGAAGTGGGAGAGAGACTTAGAATGAGCACGTGTTTGCAGTTTGACCTCTCTTTAACATCCCAAGTAGTTCGTGCCGTCCACCGGGCACGTGACCGTGGCTAGGGGAAGGGAGCTGAGCGTGCAAGGCTGCTTGATGGAAGCTCCAAATGCGGAGGAGTGACTTTCTCCACAGAGGAAAGGTTCACTTGGGCCTTCAATGGAAGGCCTTCGTAGCTGGGCGTTTGGGTCTATCAACGTGGTGGATCGCACGAAGAATATTGTGAAAGTCCCTTCCCGTGGGCGTCAAAGAGTTGTATTCTGTCACGCCAGAAGGCAGTACAGCAACATTTGGACTCGACCTGGTATGTCTCCCCCTTTGCACACGTGGGGGTTCTCTTAGTGCTCCAGTTTTCTTCCACTCATTCCTTTGCCAATAACGCTCCATAATATATAGAGGACTGCAGAGCTTGGGGAAATTGTGTTTCCTCCTTGCGTCGCTTTCAGAGTGAATAGCATGCGTCTTATAAGTTTCAATTATTATATATATTAATTATAGTTGCTGTAGCAGCGAGCACTGCCAGTGATACGAGAGATGTCGAGTGATAGGAGAGGGGAGAGGTAGGCAGAGTGCGTGGAGAGGAGTCAGATGGGCCAGTGCAATGGAGGACGTGGAAGATGTTGAGGGTGATGTTGTCCAGGACTGGATTTGAAGCCAGCGGAGGGATTCAAGAGTTATGGTATGTACGTACGTGGAACTTCTTTCGCACCATAAGTATAACCACCCGTGCTAATCGGAAGGTGTGTGGGAAGGACAACTCCTGCACAAATGCCGTCGGCCACAGTAGCACAGATTCACCAACACGGATGCCTTGGCTTGCCCTCCGGCCACCAAGAGTTCAACCCGTAGCCCGCTCCATCCACCTGAATTCCGCATTTGACTTCCGTAGACAGAAGCCCACCATATGGTTGAGGGGATTTTGGTTCTCAGCACCCCTCAGGGAACTCCACACTAACATGGGGAAACAGGTCCATGGGTGTGAGCGAGAAGTTTGCCAGATGGCACGTGGATCATCTGAGGTTTGGAGGTGAGGCCACTGGGGAGGCCATGATATTGAGAGGTGGTCCAGACATTGATGAGAATCGCAGCATCAGCTGGGGCGAAGCAGGTGACAGGTTGTGGGAGAGGGTTGTGCAAAGGAGGAGCCAGGAGGCTGAGAGCTCGGGATCAACGATGATTCTCTGATGACGTCCTCTACCCACACTTTTCTGGGACATTATCGTGTCTGAGGGTGTGCATTGCATACGGAAGTGTGATACCAGGTTGTGCGCGTGCGTGTTTGTGCGTCTGTTGGGGAACGCTTAGCGCACCGCGCCATGAACCGTGCAACCCAAGTTCAATTCCCACTCGCCGCCCACACCAGTGATGATTATAATCGTCACAATTATCTGAACCAATCTTGGGCCTCCCCTAGGTTGATTCAGCCTGAAATGAGTACAAATGCGGTGTATAAAAGGTATAACCGCTGGGGAAACAAAGGCAGCCGGGTGTGTTGACCACCCACCCCCTCGTGCACCATGCTGGCCTTCATGGGTTTCTCGCTCGCAGCACTTGCCCCAAGAGTCTATTCCAGGCTATACAGGGGATTTTGTATTTGTGTGTCCCTGCAGAGTGAGCAGAGGGCCTTGTGGCAGCGCAATGTAGGCATCGTGCAGGAAGCGCGCACGCTCGGATTCTCCATCGTGGACACGTGGAACGTAACCGTGGCTCGGCCTGCAGAGTTCCTGCCCGGCAAGTGCAGCTGCCACTTCCATGAGGTGCGCTCGCTTGCTTCACTAACTTCACCCCTCGCTCGTTTCGCCCGCTTCACTCCTCCTCGCTTCACCCGCGCTCACTTCACCCGCTTCACCTCTCCCTCGCTTAACCCCTCGCCCAATCCATCCGCGTGCTCCCTTCGCCCGCGCTCGCTTCATCCGCGCTCGCTTTACCCGCGCTCGCTTCACCCGGGCCTCCCATAGGTCGACTCAGCCTCAAATGAGTACCTTATGTGGTGTGTAAACATCGACACTAGGGAGACGAAGGCGGCCGGATGTGGTGCTGGTCACCCATCCCCTCGTGTACCGTTCCAGCCTTCATAGGTGCTCACTAATAGCACTTTCCCCAAAAGTCTCTCAAAGCTATACGGGGGATCTATGTCTTTGTAGCGGGGTGTGGGTAGTGGGGTATTGCGGTTAATGTGCTGTGCTACGAACCCAGTGATCCGAGTTCGATTCCCGCTCACAGCCAACACCAGTGACTATTATCGGAACTGGTCCCTGGCCTTCCCAAGGTCAATTCATCCTTAAATGAGTACCTGGTGCGGCGTGTAAACATCACCACTGGAGAGACAAAGGCGGTCGGGCATGGTGCTGGCCACCCACCCCCTCGTGTACGTTCCTGTCTTCATAGGTGCTCGCTAACAGCACTTTCCCCGACAGTCTGTTAAGGCTACACGCGGAATATTTGTGCTTTGTATCACGGTGTGTTCAACACGTGACGTGTGCCCTCTCTGCTCGTCAGGTAATCCCGAGGTCCCGTGTGGATGGGGGAAGCGCTCTCCCGGTCACCACCTTCCACGTGGAGGGAGCGATCAATGCTGCCTATTCCGAGATCCTCCTAGCGCTTCTCTGCTCTGACCAGCAGTGACACCGATTGGAACGGCCCCACCGGTGTTCCCTTAAATCTCGGCGCCCAGTGCCCGTATCCTCCGTGAGGTTTGAGGTGGCCAACTCGCATCATGCTGGAGAGAGGGCACGCGTCACACGGGCAGGGCGAGCCAACAAGGCACATTTGGAAGATTTTGCCAGACAGTATATTAACTCTTCAGGTAATTCAGGAGTTATGGGGGAAACTGCCTGGCACCGGCAGTGTCCTTCGTTTCTCATGACCCCAGTGTCTCTCCACACTAAAGCGCCCTTGCTATGGGCTCAGTCGGGCTCACAGCGAGGCCCCTTTCCTCCTCAAAGACATCACTAGCGACGTGTTTCTTGGCTCCCTAGTCCAATGTGCTCTGCACATGAATGAACGTGAAGGTGGGCATGTGGTGTCCTGTGTGTGTATTGCCAACGTGGGGTCACTGCTGAACAGCGATCTTTACCGGATCAGTTAAGCGCAATGGTGCTCATCCGAACACGGCGAGTCCCTGAAAAGGTTTCAACTTCAACACGGTGTCATCAGTTACTTTGTAGTCCGTCAACCCAACGACAATGGTTTTGAGCAAGAGCAGTCCACCAACAGTGGGGTCTGACATCGCGTGCCAGAAAATTTGTGGCAAAATCTGCACTTGACAACACGGCTGAATGTATATACCTCGACCAACGGTTGAAAGTGGACTGAATTCAACGAGGTGAAACATGTGGAGGAGAGAGGCAGGATGGAGTTGTTTGGGAATGCTGGACTTGAAGAGCAACGTACGAATGTGGCTCCTGGAGGAAGTTTCTAACGAGTGCGTACCACGATGCACGGTTCAGGGACACGCTCGTTACGAAACGGAGAATAACACTTAAGCCCACAGAAGAGGCATGGAGAGATGCACGCTTGGATTTGCATTGAGACACAGGGAAGGGAACACGTGGATGACAGAACATGTGCAGGTTAATAAAAGTGGGCTTGGGCAGGACAAGGATAAGTGACAGCCAAGGAATGGAATGCGTCCACTAAAGAGATAGAGCGACGAATACGGTTTGTGTGCAGGTGAATTATTACATCGTAGGAATGTGGAGGCAGCAGATTGGGATCGCCTCCATCGAGCAGTGGATTGATCATGGCTTCGGAAACCTTAATCCAAGTGGACTGCTGTTTTATGGAAGCAGATTATTATTTATTTTTCCTCTCCAGTTAGTGAGCATTGTTAGCGAGTAACCTTGCTGCTACGGAACCACTCAGCCAATCTGGATGCATCCATAAAATAGGCCCAGGCAGCAGAGCAAGGCTGCCGTTTGATGGATTCGGTGTAAATTTTCACGATTAATCCCCATTTATATCCCCCTGTCTGCGTGCTGGGGCATTTTTTTACATATTCATAAAACACGTGTATTGTTATATACAATTCTTACAGCGTATACATCCCTGTACATAGCACATATACATTTGTATATAGACATATTTTATATGTATAAATGCACGTTACGTTTTCTATGTTTAATATATTCTGTGTAGTCAAATCCATACTCTATCAACACATCTATCCAACCTCTTGTCTCAACATACCTAAAGCCTACGTGTCGAACTGATAGCTATCCAAAATGCCACACTACACCATCTGGCGAGCTCACATTTGGAATAAAACGACGTCAATATCTCCAATTATGCCTGGGCCGATTCACACTTTTTTTTTCCTGTACGTCATTTTCTACTGGTCCACACCCACGATCGGTATTTGTTATTGTTCAATATTCTATCTTTTATGAATAATCTCTACAACGTAGTGGTGTCGGTGACAGCTGGGCGCTTTAATGACCTTGGATCTATCCCCCTTTCTTGCGTGCTAAAGGTGCTCTGTGGCGAGGTGACATCGTAAGCCGTGCAACTCGACTGTCGGTCCACCTGATTGCTTAATGCTGGCGTTACTCGGTCTCGCATTCCTCGTCCATAGCTCAGGCTCTGGCACTGGCTCAAAGTGAGCTATGGCTGAATGCTGCACTTGAGCCGGCTGATCGTGGTTCCCAGCCGCGCCCGGGGATTTTTGTGAGCCGAGCGCTGAGCCAGACCCCTGAGTGTTGGGAGGCCGAGCCATGACTACGAACAGCGGCCTTCGATGTTTTCCCATAAAAATCGTTGCACGCAGGCTGCCGCCTTCATGTTGGGCACAATAATGAAGTAATTCACTCTCCACGGTACTCTATAAGCATTTATTGTTACGGTTTTTTGTAGCATCATTATGAACAGTTATATCGTGAGTATTTAAATAAGACAACGGTACATGATGTACGTTGAATAAAATGCACAGCAACGCACCATCGGGACTCTTCTCTTTACGTGGCGGCATACAGTAGTAGCGGCGTCCATTTGAATAAAAAAATAAGAACTTGCGCTCGTCGATTTGCACACAAAGCAGCCTTGCACGTCGGGCTGTCCGAAGCGCGCACGCGAGAAAAGCAAACCCTCTCGACTGAAAAGCTGCACCCCCAGACGCGTGAAGTCCTGAGTCGTGGGAGTTTCCTTCTGACAGTGACCCAGACCGTTAGGGCTGCGGATCTCCCAGTGGCTTACGTTCCGACACAAACCAAACCCGGACGTTGCCACGTCAGGTATTAAAACAGGCAATGCCACTTCCACTCTCTCAGTTGTCCTCGTCGTATTCCTCCGCCCAAAGCTGGGACACGACACCATCTTGCACTCGCCTTGATGTCACCGATTCTTACGTGGTTGCCACCATTGAATGTGAATGGCAGAATCCAAAGCAAGCGGAAATTGGGTCATCGCAGACAAATTCCACTGTGTATGTGTGGTGGTCATGTTGACACACACGCGCCACAACCAGGGGGCTTACCGGTATGGGATGGTTGTGTACTCCTAGCTGGGACCCGCCGGGGGGAGGGGGCTGTGGCCAGTGTCTACGATCCCACAGAATCCCCCGCCTCTCGGTGGGGAGCGGTAGAAACCGGTCCGGACTGGTCGGGCCAACTGCGGTTGGAACCCCTCTGAGGGGAGGGGGCTGGGGGAAGCTATGATCCCCCAGAACCCCGCCCCTCAGGGAGAAAGATTATATAAAGCGGGTCCCTGAGAGCGCGAGTCAATCCGCCTCAAGCCGAAGCCAGAAGCCGCCTGGAGAAGAAGACCCTGGACCCCAAGCCAACGACGTCCTTCTAAGGGTCGGGGCTCAGTATGGTGCTAGTGGTCGAAAGGTTAGGACCCTGAGGTTCCCTCGGTCTGATGTCCTTCTAAGGGCCAGGTCCGGACGGACCAGCGGTCAGGGACCCACCGGGCCAGCGGTGGGTCAGCCTCCCTTAGGTCTAGCCAGCCAGAGGGCTAGAGTAGTCAGAGTTCTTGGCACGATAGCCCGGAGGCTGTACCTACCCAGGTTGTGGGTGGAAGGGGCCATTACCCCTTTGTGTTAGGGTTTAAGTATAAACTGTTATGGTATAATAAACCATGTTGCCTCTACGAAGATACTCCGTCTCTCTACAAGAACATTACAACTGGTGACAGAAGTGGCCAAGAACTTTGCCTACATGGAGACTAGACAGAAGGCACTTACCAGGGCTCCGGACAGGGAGGTCGATGCTGACGCTGCTCCGGAGGCGGGGGTGCCATTCCCGGAGGACGGGTCTGCAGCGACAGGCCTGCAATCTCCGGGCCCGTCGGGATGGGCGATTCAGTCGGCACACGCTCGTCTTGCCGATCTCCTACCTGCCGCTGCCGCCATCCTCGATGAGCTCACGCTGGGTCGGCCAGCTGCTGCGGGTGGGGGGCTTGGCCGGAGGTCAGGTGCTGTTCCCGCCAGTGCGCGAGGGATTCCCGCGCCAAATTTTGAAAACGCTACCGGGTATGACGTCATTTCCGCCCGGGGATAGGTCACTGCCGCCGGGAACGCCACAACCGGAAGCGACGTTACTTCCGCCGGGTGTTTCGCCACTTCCTCCGGAAATGGCGTCATCTGCCCCGGAAGTCACGTGCCCCAGGGGGCGCGTGTCACTTCCACTCTTGCCGCCCTCCAACCCAAGGCTGCCGCATCATCGGAGATGCGACCACCGCTTCTGGCGGACATTCTGGCGTCCGACGGCCCTACAAACGCCACACCTGGTGCACATCTTGCCTCGGTGGGGGACTACATTCCTGGCCTGCAACAGCGCTTGCCATCTCTTCAAGTCTTCGCAGCTAGAGGCGGAGACTGGGCAGCTTTTGCCCGTCAATTCGTAGCAAATGCTGAGACGGCAGGGTGGACTGCGGACATTGCTCTTCGAGCTTTGCCTTCCGCGCTGGACGACACCGCCCTGGCTACGTTCCTCATCATCCCGCGGAAGGATCGCTCCACGCTACAGGAACCCCTCGACCGGATGACTTTGGTGTACGGACCCCCGTCGGAAACCAGGCATCGCTTCGCAAGCCGGAAGAGGGAGGCTGACAAGACCCCCTTGCCTACCAAAGCGCGCTGATGGCGTTGGCTCAAGTGGCCTACCCTCATATGGACGACGTGGGTCTTGACACCGTCATGCTTGAGAAGATGTTGCTGCTGACTCGTGAGTTGCGCATCGCCAAGGATGAGGCGAATCTCTCCTCACTGCGCGCTGCCCACTACCTACACACGGAGCTGCTCCTCCAGCACAACAGGCAGGTGGCGGCGTGTGCCACGCACATTGCCGCGCCGGAAGATGAGGCCCTGGATAACCAGGCCTTCGCATCACAGCACGCCGCGAGCTGGAGGGCGACCAACCGACCTCGCCAGGGTGAGCCTCGGCGGAGACACGGTTTCCCGCGGGCATGGGCCCGCGTCACGTGCTACAACTGCGGGCAGCAAGGTCATCTATCATCAGGCTGCCCAGCCGTCGTCCCTCCGCACGCCTGCTGCTTCACGGGAGCCACAGGAAAGTCGCGGCACCTCACGCATTCAGCCCCTGCCCTCATCTCATACTCATTCTAATGTGCCGCTCCGTCCGGTTGAGTCGAAGGATCAGGGCCGGGATAGGGTTGATTTTTGGCAGCCACTCCGACCGGTTCAGTGGTCGGAGTTGGCCCACAGGGTTGTCGCCACGGCTACAGGCGCCATTGAGGGAGTTGAATTTCAGTTACTGGTTGATACGGGCGCTTTGGCAACCAATATTTTGGACCTCATTTACAACGTGCTGTCCCAGAGGTGTCAGTCGCTCACCCCGGTTTCCGTCCCTTGCTCCACAGCAAATAGAGGTTCCCTGGGAATAATTGGCCAAATAAAGGCACAGAATTGTATTGGTGATATTAAATTAACGGGTCCCCTTTTTGATTTCAGAGACCCTTGCCGTCCCCTGTTTGCTGGGTACAGATTTCCTCGGCAAAATGCCCATTAAAATCTTGATCGACAAAGGCTGCATTGAGCTCCCTTCGGGCCATCGGATGTCGTTCCTGCCCTCACCCACCCGGCTACGCACGGCTTGCGCGACCATTCAAGCGATGGCATCCCAGACCGTTCGGATTCCGCCGGGCGCGCAAATGTTGATTCCGCTTCGGTTGCGGAAACTGCTCGGGTCGGAGACGATGTCAGGTATTTTGCTGGCTCCTTCCAACACGGCCGTACGGGGATTGGAGCTGGTGGGGGCACAGACGCTTGTGCCTGCTGAGGGCCAACCCTTCATTCAGGTGTTGAATGTGGACAATGGTCGTGCACCAGGGGGCTGTGATTGTTCATGAATTACTGCCACTCCACACTGACTCCATCGTGGCTCATGTGGATGGTACGCCTAGGTCCGAGGCGCATTCTGACACCGACGATCGTTGGTTGGATTCTCTCTGTTCGGGGGCTGGAAATCTTCCCGAGTCCCAGCGATCGCGATTGCGTATGTTACTCCGTGAATTCGCCGATGTTTTTAGCAAGCACAAATTTGATATCAGGTGCACTAATCTATTGAACCATCACATTGATACGGGCGATTCCGCTCCCATTCAGCAGAATCCGTTTCGGCTGAGCCCGACAGAGAAAGAACATGTCCAGTTGGCTGTGAATGACATGCTGGCCGCTGACATTGTGGCTCCTTCCACCAGCCCATGGGGTGCACCGATTGTGCTCATAAAGAAACATGATGGCAGTTTGCGATTTTGCGTGGATTTTCGGAACTCAACAAAATTTCGCTGGCAGACGCGTATCCGCTTCCTCGCATGGACGAGTCGCTGGATGCCTTGGCAGGGGCGCAGTACTTTTCCACCTTGGACCTTTTGTCCAGATTTTGGCAACTGCCCTTGGACGAGGCATCTAAACCAAAGACCGCGTTATGCACGCCGCAGGGCCTTTTTCAATTTAATCGGTTGCCCATGGGTTTGCACTCAGCCCCGGCGACGTTCCAGCGGCTAATGGAGCTGGTCCTCGCTGGGCTGCAGTGGGACTCGTGCCTCATCTATCTGGATGATGTAATTATTTTCAGTCGTACGTTCGAGGAACACTTGGATAGATTAAAGGCTGTGTTTGTCAGGATGCAGACCGCTAACCTTAAATTCAAGCCCCAGAAATGTTTTCTATTGCGGGAATCGGTGCGGTATCTTGGGCACATTGTCAGCCGTACGGGCATCGCTACCGACCCCGCGAAAACTAATTGTGTAAGGACGTGGCCGACACCTACGTCTGTGAGTGAGGTCCGCAGCTTCATAGGGTACGCATCCTATTACCGCCGGTTCGTTGAGGGCTTTGCGTCGATAGCGAAGCCTCTTCATGCTTTAACGGCTAAGGGTGCCAAGTTCCACTGGGGGGATACCAACAACGGGGCGTTCAAGGTGCTTCACGATGCCCTTGTTGGTGCCCCTCCCTTGTGCTACCCTGACTTCACCTTGCCCTTCATCCTAGACACTGACGCCAGCAATGCAGGCATTGGCGCAGTGCTCTCGCAAATCATGGTCGGCGTCGAATGCGTCGTCGCCTACGGCAGTAGGGTACTGTCCCCAGCAGAACAGCGATATTGCGTTACCCGCCGTGAACTGCTCACTATTGTTGTTTTTGTACAACAGTATCGTCTGTACCTGTACGGCAGGCATTTTACGGCTCGCTCTGATCATGCGGCACTGCAGTACGCACTAAAAATAGACCAGCCATCCGACCAGTTGTTACGATGGCTTGAGGTCCTACAGGACGCGCCATTCAAACTCTGATGGCCTATCGCGCCTTCCCGTGGGGGAGGGCTGTGCATGCTTTATGGGCTCTGGGAGGTGCAAGTCGGCCACTGTGGCTACACCTGCTTCTTCCATTGTGGTGGCGGCAGGGGTTGTCGACGCGGAGCCTGTCTCTATTGCCGACTCGCATGATTTGGTCGCTCGTGACTCGCTGCTTGACCTGCCTCTGGATGAATGGGGACGTTTTCAGATGGAGGACGCCTCCCTCCTTAGGTTACGCCGTCGTGTCAAACGTGCTGGCGATTGTCCAGAGGGTATTGGGGCGGTCGTTATGCGTGATGGTCTTCTCATGTCCTGGGACGCCAGCTCTCGCCGTTATAAGATCATCGTTCCTACCGCTCTGTAGGGCAGGGCCGTGTGGGCCGCGCACAAACGGCTCTTGCACTTGGGTATTCACAAAATGCTCGCCACACTGCAATTGGATTTTGTTTGGCTGGGAATGGCACGCGATGTCGCCGATTTGTTGAACAGTTGCACGCAGTGTGAGCGGCGGAAACACCCGGCTAGGGCGGCCTGCCCGCCCCTTCAGTCAATTCAGGTGTCCTGTGTCAATGAGCTGGTGGCACTGGACATCCTGGGTCCCTTCCCTGTCACCGCTCGAGGTAATAAGTACCTGCTGGTTGGGGTCGAGTATTTTATCCGCTGGCCCATGGCCTGGCCCCTCCCCAACCAGTCGGCAGCAGCCATTTCTCCAGGGCTATGTCCTGGATAAGGGCGCCC